CGGGTGCCGGTAACAGTGGCCTGCTAATTACTGCATCCGACTGGCTGCGATTTTGTCTCCGACCCTAGGGAGGTCGCCATATAGGTCGTCATTGGTTACGTGGTCCTCCCAGGATACATTGAGCGCCACTCGGAGCATGCGTATGTAGCATCCATTGAACGACTTCTCCATCGTAGGAGTTATAGAGTCCATGTTTCGCGGCCATCAGAAGCACTGACTCGATGGTTGCCAAGAAGAAAGAGATTTTTACGTTGCGGCTAATGGTGGAGCTCCACACTTTCTTCATGTCAGCCAGTGCCCTCCATGCCTTTCCTTTCCTGACCTTGATGTCCTGGTCACTAGAATATTGATCAATGCGCCAAGGTACTTAAAGTCGGGGACCTCATTCAGCTCTCTACCCTCCAGCGTCTTCAATGGAGTGTGTTCGGTCGGGCGTGTTGTAGGTGAAATACTCAGTTTTCTCTGCGTTGAGCCCGAGTCCTACCTTCAAGCACTCTGCTTCTACAAGGTGTAGGAGTACTTGCGCCTGCTCGACTAGATCAGACATCAGCGCGATGTCATCAGCAAAGTCGAGATCCGTTTCAGTGACCGCTGGTTGCCTTCTCGATATTCTCGGAGTGATACTCTCTGCCATTGATGGCTCTACCCAAGGCATAGTCGAGAACGATGATAAACAGGAAGGGTGCTAGGATGTCGCCTTGTAGCACTCCTGCTGTGATATGAGAATTAGTGGATAAGATGGGTGTAGCCTAATAAGCAATTGTGAATCAGTAGATTTTCCAAACAAAGGGGATTTAAGAATTTATCGATTCGTGGCTTTTGACATTTCTTTCTTTCAGTTTAACACTTACTCTTTTCGTTTGTTTATTTAAGCTTATTTTGTTTTGTTGATGTCTGTAATCTATACTTGTTGGCAGGCGCGTACGCAAGGGGGTGTTTTGGCTGTTAAACACCCCCCTTTGCCATGTAAAAATATGGAGGGAAAAGAGAGTTATGTGACCGAGCGCGGAACAATTACAAATTATGTGCATGTTCTCAACTTTAAGCTTTGAATACAGAAGACACTTTATAAGAGCAAGAGTACATAGGCCTATATGTATTTGAAACATCAGGGGAAAAATCAGGGGAAAAGTGGCCAGGAAACGCCTCAGATTGCACCACAGAGCATCTACGATCCAATTTTTTCCCGGGGCCCTTAAGCGGGCCCAGGACCCCACGCCGTATAGGGGCTTCGCGCTGCGCGCTCGCAGGTCCTGGACCCTTCATTACAATTCTAGGCCCCCCCCCGGCAAATGGCAGTCTGAATCCGCCCCTGTGACCAGAGCGCATTTGTATCCTGTATCTGGTGTTTGGCCTTAGGGGTGGGGGCGGTTTACACAAAGAATTAGATTCCCAACGGATGAGAATCATGAGATCCAGGGGACGAAGCTGAGTAATTTTAGCCAGATCCTAGCACTTCCGCAGCCCGTGTCACTTTTTGTCTTGAATTTCTTCTTTTTTTTGTTTAAATGCTGTTGAGGGAGGGGACTGCCCACATTGACCCCTTTACTCATATGTTCATCATAAGACACAGAACATGTTTTTTTTTTTCGATTTACTATGTTTGGCGCCAACACAAACTCCCGACTTTTATTTTAGCGTTAAGTTTAGCCCACTGATACTATTTTTATTTCGGGCGCCAACACAATTTACCATCTTCATTTCTAGCGTCATAAATGATGACATCCAAGTTTGAAACGCCCCCCTTGAAAAAATCCTGCGTACGCCACTGCTTGTTGGTAACTGTTCTTTGAGTTCAATACTCTACTTGATCCAATAAAATCATGCGAGCTAATATGCCAAATTGTGCTTAATTGGGGACACAAGGAAAAGCTCAAGCACACACCAGACTAATTTACTTCACACAACTTGATCGATATAACAGCCATGACTATGGTTGCGAAGGCGAAGCGGGCAGCCCGTTGGTAAGCAAAGTTAATCCGATTACGTACTTAGACGCTTTAAGTTACAGAGCAGTGAAATTCATGCCTCCCAAAAATCATTGCCCTTTGAACGTTTTGTTTCTCAGGAAATATGTTCAGTATGATTGAATTGTTTAAGTTATAATGGAAGAAGAAATTCTAAACTTCATGTCAGTGAAACAAATCGCCGTCATCGATGCCGAAACCTCAATACTGCTTACTGGTAAAGCTGACCTTCAAGTCTGGAAAAAATCCCAAAATCTATGTATTTATATCAATTCCTAGGAATTTCCGAAAGTTGCTATTTCAAGAGTATTTGAATACTTATTTCACCTATAAGTATATTCCAAATTTTAGCTTAATTTTGTTGCAAACGCTTGTGTTATACCTTAAACTATCTCCAAAGAAAATTTCGACTAGGATTTTTTCCCGACCAAACCCACGTGCATGGTTTTCAGCAAAGATCATATAGCGCCATAGGCGCTATGGTTGACCGATATCGGCCCGGCAACACAATGGCGGAGCGCATAATAGTTAGCATATTCATTAGCGTCATTCGGCGTGACTTGGCGTGGGTCTTGGTATCGACCAATGGAAGCCGGCAAAGAGGGTGATATTTATCAATTAATAACTCGTGAAGGAGGCTTTTCTACAATTTTTTTCACTGCATATCCATAATGGATTTAAGAACCTTATTAATATTCGTGATGCTTGAAAAGATTGACATATGTTGCAAACACCAGTGTTACAACTTTTAATTTTTTTTTTTTCAACTTTTCCAATTTCAACGAAAAGTAATGAACATGTCAGAATGATTTTTAGCACATATTTGGATCATTATAAGGGAATTAACCCTGAAAGTTCCATGAAGATACGGTCTTCCAAGTTCCAACGGGAGAAATTAATTTTCAAAGATTTCGCCCGCCAACGTGAACATGTGCATGCAGTTTCATTCAAAATAAATTGTTACGTAACCTTTAGAAATCGCCCTTCGCAACCGCACGGCAGATAAGACGAATTCGAGTGCTGCTATATTCCGTCGGCATGCTTAGAAACATTTGAGCAGTAATGATGAATATTCTCGGTTACGTCTCGATAGTCCGAAGTCCCATTGGTCCGAAGAAACATAATAATGTATTGTTCCACTGGTTCAGGTTGATGGACCCTAACCCTAATCCTATGGGGCGTCGGACCAATGAGACTTCTGACCAATGGGACTTCGAACCAATGGGACTTCGGACCAATGGGGCTTCGGACCAATGGGACTTCGGACCAATGGGACTTCGGACCAATGGTACTTCGGACCAATGGGACTTCGGACCAATGGGACGTTTATATACCAATGGAATGTAGAGCAGATAAGACGGCAGATAAGACGAATTCGAGTGCTGCTATATTCCGTCGGCATGCTTAGAAACATTTGAGCAGTAATGATGAATATTCTCGGTTACGTCTCGATAGTCCGAAGTCCCATTGGTCCGAAGAAACATAATAATGTATTGTTCCACTGGTTCAGGTTGATGGACCCTAACCCTAATCCTATGGGGCGTCGGACCAATGAGACTTCTGACCAATGGGACTTCGAACCAATGGGACTTCGGACCAATGGGACTTCAGACCAATGGGACGTCGGACCAATGGGACGTCAGACCAATGGGACGTCGGACCAATGGGACTTTGGACCAATGGAACGTCAGACCAATGGTATTCGTACTATAGAGACGTCCCCAATATTCTCGACCAAGTGTTCAAAGAGGGTGAGCAAACTTAAATAATATTGTCCCTGTCATTTACATTTTCGTATTGTCTATGTTTAGGCAAAAAAGTCTCCGGTTTCTGGTATGGAGCTTGCCCCAAAAGTGGTGCGGCGACGCGGCTTTTTGTTGTTGACTTTTTTCCCCTTCAAATGTCGGCTGATGACTGCAAATGATGACCGACTAAATTTAGTGCAAAATGTATGGGAGCCCAGAGTGGCCACCATGGGCGTGCGCCAGGATTTTTCTAGAGGGGGGCAAAACAATTTTTTGCCAAGAAATGCTTGTATTTCTCAACACATTTTCGATTTATCAGTTTTAGGGGGGGCAGGGACATTTTGCCCCCCCCCCCAACTCATTAAATTTACACCACTTTGTCTTCGCGCCTCTTTTTTTTTTCTTTTTTTTGCTTTTTTTTTTTTGCTTTTCCAGGGGGGGGGGGGGGCAAGTGCCCCCCCTTGCCCCCCCCCCCCTCGCGACGCCCATGGTGGCCACATAAAGCTTATACTCGATCGTGACCCCTTTAAAAAAAACACGTTAAAATTGTGCAGCAGGATTCCAGTCAAACCAGTGAGTTTGGCGGTTTGAGACATCATCTCACATTGAAATTTTTTTTTTTAAATTATGCCGACGCGCATGGCTACGGCGACGCGCGCGCATACCAGAAACCGGAGACCTTTTTTTGGGGGGGGGGGGGGGCCTTATACGGAGTCTTTTTTGTTGTTATTATGTACCTTGTTAAATGTGTTATTGTTTTTGTTGTTCATGGGACTCGCACTCGACAAGCTTGCTTTTTTGTGGGTCCCCTGCATCTCTTGGTATTAATACTTATACATTATTTCTAATTATTTTGAAGAATTATATTTATATTTCTGCATTACATGTACCATGAGGTGGAATAAAGTAAAGTAAAGTAAAGTAAAGTAAATGATAAATGACCAAATTGCTTTTGGGGTAAAAGCGTGTGAAATATTTCAGGGACGAAATCAAGTGTTAGAGTTGGTTAATTTGAATGAGATACGTTATAAAATAGCCGAGAAAACCTATAGTGGACTTTAACAGTCAACAAAATTACTGTTGAAAAACTGAACGAATTTCTCTCTTGTTTTATCGCCAAAGATTAGTGGGTCATGCATACGATTTAATCTCAACTTCCGTCCGAGCGCACAGCCTATGCCTTGCATGCCGCTCACAATCAGTAATTAAATCCGAATCGTCAACAGGACATTGCGTGTACGATTTGCATCCAAGGTTGTGCCTTTATAGAATAAAACTGTCGCATAATAAAAAACCCTCACGTCACACAAGCCATGAAAGCTTTTGTCATTCTTTTGCCGAGAGTTGTTTGTGAAAAAATTGAATGCGTCGCGTCTTTAACTGCTGCACCGTGACTGGATTGCTGAATAGCCTAATACCACAAAATGGCGAAGTTTATGCACAGTCGTTTACTGTCCGAGGTGGTCCAATCCTACCTGCATGGTATAATCCGCTCAACCATGACTATATGAAATGCGTAGTCGTAAAGAACAAATCTATGGTCGAGGCGGTGTAGTAATCAGTTAACTGATGAATTATGTAAACAGTAAAAATACAGCAACAGATTTCTGGATGAAATGACGGTCGCAAGGCACGGGTCTCGGACGGTGTCGATGTCGCCGGCGAGATGGGCGCAGCGCGCCGGTGGCACCAGCGAAAACAGCTTCTCGCGGTGGAGTTCAATGCGGTGTAGTAAGGCACTACGCCTACGGAGTCGTATTTGCAGACTTGTTTTACTGATGAGTTTGATTTCGTTCGCCTTTACCATGCTTGGCTTACTGGGTCATATCCATACGATTGAGACAGAGCCGGAGAATGTCAATGTCCACGATTTGAGGATTGCAGATTGGCCGCAACCGAGTGTGGATGGCACCACTCATCATTACAACACTTCAAGGTAAACATGTTAAGTGTAAAAGAACATCAATCTGTGGCGTAACTACGAGGGGGAGGGGGGGGGGGCACAGCGTATGTCCGTGCCCCCTTGAAATCTTGAAAATTTTCTCCCTTGAAGTCCGCCCTCCCTTCCCGAAGTTGACCCTAGGTGCGCAACAGATGCCAGTTTGTATGTTTGCCACGTACCGGCATGATTACTAGCGGCCATTGGCTAAACAATTAAGCCACTTCGCACTACTTTGGGTTCCATTGGTTCCATTGATTTTTAATGCTACTCGTTCTCCATGTGTAGTGGGCGGCGTGGTTTCAGTTGAAACGACGTTACACTTACGAACCGGATATATTTTAAATACGGGACAATATAAATGCGACTGGCAGTCATTTCACTTTGCAATCTCTGCACAAAGTTGTGGCTCTTTTAATTTCTGTGCTACATGATGACAAGTTAAGGTATAATGCTGAAGGTGCAACTATCCAACACCGAACAGAAAAGAATGACGTTGAGACATACGTTCCCCATGCAAAGGCAACCCCTTCTCGAAATAAATTTGATGGAGCTGGTGGGGGGAGGGGGTGATATTGGGAAGGAATATACCCCGGATCGCCGCTTATGTTATACAGAGTGGTCTCCCCCCCCCCAAAAAAAACACCAAACAAACAAACAAACAAACACCCCAACAAACAAACAAACACTGAATGGCAGTACACATGTACTTCCACTACCCTGAGACTCAAACCACATATACCAATACATGGATAATCTTTTTAGAAGAAAAATAAAACCAAGATCGCCCGATTCGGTCCTGTGGTTTTTGTTCTAGGGCCTATTTTGTGAAGCAAGGTGGGGTCATTTTTGTCCCGATGAATTGATAACCGCGCCCGGGAATTGACTAACACTGTAATGTTGTAGTCGAGTACCTTTTCATGAGTACGAGTGCGAATACGAGTACAATTTCACGAGTACGAGTACTTTTCCATGAGTACGAGTACGGGTGCTTTTCCACGAATACGAGAACGAGTACATTTCCATGGGTACAAATATCATTCCCTATTATTTTCAGACATAAAAGAAAAAAGCAAGATAGTTCATGAACGTAACACGAAGGCGAACCCTTTGTTAAACCCAAACAACTTTAACACGTTGGAAAACTTATTAAACCCTGAAGTGTAGCCACGTGTATTTCATACAGAGTAGAACTGGAACAAGTGGGGCCATGAAACAGTTTGATATGACTGGTGTCATGCATTCCAAAACAAGTGTTTCAGGACAAGCGTGAGATAAGATTCGAAGTAATATGATTTACTGACGGTTGGTGCTGAAACTTGCTTTCTAATACATGTAGTTTATGATTTCAATGAGTCATTAATTTTCCAAACAAACCATTAAATGTTTTATCTTGCTGGTCAGGAGTCAATCACTAATATTTCTGAGCTTTCGACAATCAAAAAAGTTTGTTTTGTAATGTTTTTATTTGTAACTGAACGTGAATGAACAAAAAATTAACTCATTGGCAAACGGGGGAGGGGGAGGGGTGAGCCTGTTTCACATCCAAAACAATTTCAATCTTACAGATTCTGTTACTAACTCCCCGGATTGAGAATGATTTAACAAACATAACGTTCACTTTGGAGCACATGTCAGTTTGTCCTTAAACATGTTTGTTGCACTTCAAGAAGGTCATGTGCAATGTACATACTTAGTTCTGTACAAAGTACAGTTCTGTGTATACAGATGTCGAGAAGTGTGGTTTTACAGGCTATTAACTCATTGTTCATACACTAAAATGCAGCGCTGTACTGGTGGACTGTATTCAGCATTGAGCTATTAACTATGTAGATGTGCACAGTTGAGATAATGACTGTGTGCTGAACATGCCTTCATCTATGCTTCATTCAAGTCCACTTTTCCCCAATTTTTATTATGTACTGTATTTTTTAAAAGTTGTTTCCATGAGTACGAGTACAAGTACTTTTCCATGAGTACGAGTACGAGTACTTTGACATGGGTACGAGTGTAAGTACGAGTACGAGTACTTTGACATGAGTACGAGTGTAAGTACGAGTACGAGTACGAGTACAGGACATTTTTTTCTTGCAAGTACGATTACGAGTACATTTTCAAGAGTACAAATACGAGTACGAGTACGGAAAAAAAGTACTCGAGTACCAGTACGAGTACTGTGCCATGAGTGCGAGCATAAGTACGAGTACGAGTACAGGACATGTTTTCTTGCAAGTACGAGTACGAGTACATTTCCATGAGTACAAATACGAGTACGAGTACGGAAAAAAGTTCTCGAGTACCAGTACGAGTACGAGTACGAGTACTACACCATTGTAATTGATAGAGGGATAACAATACGGTAATAATACCCACATGAAAGAAATGTGCTTCACAAAATAGGATCTGCAATCATGATTCTTCTAAAAGCATTCTCCATCAATTTGTACAGGTGGTGCACAAGTTGCTAGTGAAATAACATCAATGTACAAATCGTCTAAGGTTGCACGAGTCCTTATCGCTTGAGTTCATCCAACACACAGCTAAAAATTATTTGGTTTTTTTTTTTTGCGTTAAAAAAAGACAGAGAATATTTCTCGCCCGCTTTGTAATGTTTCATACCCCTTCTTTAAACGCTGCAACTGTTTCATTTTGTATGTTGTGTCAGCTGGCATCATGACAACTTATTTATTTATTTATTTTCTTTACCCCAAACAGTTTATAACTGGTTTCCATTGGGGCCTGCATACACAACTAATGATTATACACACATGTACAAATAATTACAATGCATTACAAATACAATACAACACAATGACATGAAACTAGAGATCTATGTCTGTTCGCAACCGAACATAGGACTTTTTCGCATTATGTTCTTTTTATCAACACGTCCCTGACTATGCATGTACAACGTTTCAATCGAATAGGACGTGTGGTTCTTGAGATATTTGTAAAACCCACACTTGCCACAGACTAACATCGTTGAAAGTTAGTCCACTTCTCTTACCAATTTGAAATTACAAGGCACTTACGTTTTCAACCGGAAGGAAGGGTCCGGTGATTTCGCACGTAATATCCAAATCGAGACCTAGATTATTCTCTCAATTCCCATGAAAACAAATTCAGATCTCTCACAGTTGATTTTATATTGATTCTCAAAGAGTAAATCTACAAATCTTTGGTTGCATTTAATCTGATGCTTGATGACGTCATCGTGACGTCATTACCAAAAAGCTTGAGAGCTATGCTAACTATGCTATTTGAAGCAAAAATCTGGATAATATATCTTGCGGTTGATTTGTCTGCAATTTCTTAATTTAAAGGTCTTTTCATTGTAACTTCCGGTAGGGTGACGTCATCAATCTTTCTCCCCGTCAACGTGTTTTTAGGATGAATCTGATTACATACATCAATTATAAAGTGATTTCAGCAAACTTCGCCACACACATCAACTGAAAATTCGTTTTAAACATTTTTCAACCTGCCGCTTGAGGGCGCTCTAACATTTTATTTCGTCACCGGGTTTTTTTTTTGGGGGGGGGGGAAGTAGAACCTAGCCAGAGTCTAACATTGTTGAAAGCAAGTTAACATCTTTTTTCTACTTTCAAATTATAAGGCACTTCCTGTTAGGAAAGGAAGGAAGGGTCACGTGATTAAGCACTCAGAGATGAAATGAAGATCCTTGATTATTCTATCAATTCCCGCAAACGTCAAGTTCAGGTCTCTCATTAAATATATTAATCTTTAACGTAACATAACGTGACCCATGATGACGTCATGTTGACGTCACCCTTCGGAACACAATTATGCTATGAGGCATATGCATATGCTTACTTTTAATGATGTATGACAAAGATTAATGCCAAAAATGTTGTTGGGATTAGCCAGGGAACAAAAAGAAGAAGAAAGAATAACTAGAAATGTGACTTTATGCTTTCTTTGCCAGTGCGCAGTCATGTAAATGATAATTGGTTTTTTCTTCAATGTTCAAGAAAAGTAATATTGAGCTAGTGGCCAACAGTTATAAAATAATACAAATTAGTTAATGTCGTAATGTTGATGTCACTTCGGATTTTACATATTGATTTCATCTAGCTTCCCACCAATATCATGACGATAGGACCTTCCCTGATATGCTTTTAATGCATTTTTGATGAAGTAATCATGAAGTCACACACTTTTAACATTCTTGTGCAAATATCTATGTGACCTACATACAAAAAAAACTATGCTTTCTTTAAATCCTCAAAAACTGGGACTGCGGCTGGTACCATCTTCCAATGGGGGCGCTGTTGAAACCGGACGATCATGCACACTATCGGGCAATAGATGGCGCTTTTCAGGGCTGCACAATTGTCGGCCGTCGCGCGAATTTCCAAAAAGGGCTCCTGTATGATTAGGCCGCTGGTTAAATAAGGGCACTTGTTTAAAAAAGAAAAAAAGAAGGCACTTGTTAAAAAAGGGGGCTCTCTTTACAATTATGGGGGGGGGGGGGTTAAACGCTGGTGAAAAAGGGCGCTCGAATGGAAAAGGGCGCAGTCTACAAAATACTGTGGGGGACTACGGTCTCGGTCTTGGAACTGTCCAAGTTCGTGTCGGCCTTGGTCTCCATCGATGGTTTCAGGACTGCGTGGTGTCTGCTACACCTCTGCATTATTCATAACACATTCTGTCATTTCACGCTGTACGTCAATCTCTTTCGACAGACTCCAAGATGTGCTTGCGAGGCACGATCCAACCGAGGGGCAGAATTTAAGCAGAAACGGAGAATCCAAGGAGGAACCAGCCAGCAGCCCAGCTCCCACAGGCACACCAGCAGTCACACAGAGGTACATGATTACAAAATGTTTATAACCCCAATATCCTTCTGAACATCTGTTATGTCTTTTTTTAAAGGTCACATAACAATTGACCAACTGTCATGAATGTCGAGGGTTGTTTCGGAACTACACAGTTCAAACCTTTTTGACTTTGTGGGCGGGAATTAGGCCGGGTGACTCCATTGACAAGCTTTAGAAACGAGCAGAAAAATGAGAGATTCTCAATTCTATTTGAGTCGATTTTCCTCATTTTTGATGGATGGAGGCGCAGTAAATAAGCAGTTGACTGTTGTGCCCTTAATAATCCAAGCATCGAATGGAGTCATCTAAAATTCCTTGTTGTCCACGAAGTCAATTAAAACGACTATAACGAGATACGACAACAGGATATGCCAGCGGCCAAAATGTGGCATTGTGTGAACAGGTGTCGGTATTGGAAATACGAAAAGTTATTTAATAACAAACCGAATTTTTTGCAGGCCTCAGCTGAAACAGATGTCGACATGCAGGCCAACATTGTGATAACCCACTCTGAATACTTCCGGGTACTTGAAATAGAAGTGCCGTCACGGTTTCATTACATTTAGAGAACATTTGGTTGCATGAAAACATTAGTGAGCATCCACTCCCTACCCTATAGCGAAAATGCACGCCATCCCAATACAGAAATACCTCTGAAGCCCATATTTTGAAAAGTTTATGGTAATCGAACTAGGAGAAAATATATCAACCGTGTATAAAATATGTGCTGTGGTAACAATGGGCTGTCCTAGTTATGTTCGAGGTTAACCCCGGAAGGTACAGGGTGGTTAAAAAAAGAGGACACCCACATTTGACAGCAATTTTCACCTACTTAATGAACTTATTTTCAATATTTTTTTCACATAGTAGTAAAGTATAGGCCTTTAACTATGCATGGTGAAAAAAAACTTGGTAAAAGTCGCAAAAATAGTGATATTATGCTAATTTGAATCCAAGTCACCAAAATCAGTATTGTCCACGGGTTATTCTATGTAAATTTGACGTTTTCGTAGTTCATAAAAATTAAAAAAAACCTTCCCACCAAAATATATTTTGCCATGGTAACTTTTTTTGAAGCTGTCCAATTATTCATGTCAGTGTTAAGATCATCTACTCAATGAGCTGTCGGCTTAAGTTCATTGTTGCATAACGTTACATAACATAACAATCAAATGTCATGCCCTTTCAAATAAAGCTCCGATAGCTGAGCTCAGTCTCGCGAAGGGAATGTATACCTCCATGGACAAACAGGTTTCGCACATGGAATGTTCAAATTAGCATAGCTCAACGACAATATGTGCAAATGCAACGAATTTTTCGTCACATTTGCTTAAAGGCCAGTACTTTAAAAGCCACTAATCGACAGTTAAAAATAATTTTTAAAAATAGGTGAAAATTGCTGTCAAATGTGGGTATCCTTTTTTTGGGGACCACCCTGTAGATTTGTTTACGTTTCACTTTTGAATGAGACATAAGACGGACAAATCGGCCCATGTTTAATTACAAAAAATACTTCTCCAATTTTAAATTATTTGCGGGCCGAAAAAAATGCAGTTGTTGCCAGCGGCGGCGCTACGGTAGTGGTAGTGGTGGTGGGGTGGGGCCCCCCTACACGTTTTCTACATAGGGATTAATTATGTTTATTTCCTTCGCTGTATATCAGAACTATAGTTGAAAGTATATAGTAAAATGATGGTTTTGTGCACACAAAACCAGAATTTGACTCCCCCCCCCCAAAAAAAAAAAATTTGCACCAATGTTCCTCCCCCCCCCAAAAAAAATAGAGTCTGGCGCCGCCACTGGTTGAAGCAGGGAAGGTTGGTTCCCACCTCAAACTAACCAAAACTAATTTTTTTCAGAGAGTTCAAAACGGCCAATATTGAAATCAGTACAAGATTAATAATTGCTTTCACTTGTGAGTTTGGTTGATATTCAAATGCACATTATCCAGGAACTTTTCTGAGAAATTCCGCCATCATTATGTCAACGACACGAAGGAGTTTTTCAGTCGTCTAGAAGAAATTGTCAAACAGGAATGGAAACCGCATACAAGTAGAACACAGCAATTCAGGTAATCTTATACACAGAATGTCAAGGAAATTGCACAAACTATCGTTCACTGCATCAGAATTATAGAAAGAAATCTAAAACATGTCATGTACCAAAGTTGAAGTTAAATGGCTGAAAACATACACAATGTCCGTTTTAAACCACTAATTGATTTCTAGAAAATGACCTTCAGAATTTCAGTATTTTAATATTATTTTAGAGTTATTCATTGCTCCTAATAAACACTGGCATTGGTAAAGATTAGGACAAATTGTGAAGATTCAAATTAGCATCCGTATGCAAAAATTAACTTAGAAATGTATATCGAACTTACTGTTAGGGTTAGCTGTTTTCCTCAGCTCAATTTACTTGTTTGTTCCATTTTTCCCCAATAGGGATGACATTCGCCATGGGCTGGGGGAAAATGGCAGTATGGACAATTTCATTGTGACGAAAAAGAACACCCCACGCGGAGAAAAGTTGGGCTTTTACATGTCTGGAAAACCTCGAAAGATTTCTTCCATCCTCTGGCAAAACATCCCAAATGTAGGCCAAATTAGAAACGAATTATTTAATTTCTAAGTTACCTTGATGCATGCTTGGAGAAATAAACTGAGGTTTTGAGCGTTTGAAACAATACAAATCAAAGTACACTGTACCCAGTTTATAATGGGGCCCACTGAACGAGGAGGACATTCCACTTCAATTTTTCATAAACATGTACGCTTGAAAATCTCAGCTCCTTATTTCGAAAATCACTCGGTTTAACATCCTCGTGCATAGGGAACATTAAGTGATGGAAAAACTGACAGTTTCATTGTGTTAGATTATTTTGTCGGGGCTTGCAACTCTCACAGTAGATGGCTCATTTTGTTCGGTCGGTCGCAAATCATTTACCATAATGATCTGAGGTTTTCCGGTTCAGACAGTGTCGTAGATTTTGTAAGGGCGTGCAACTCACACGGTTGATGGCTCTGTTTGTTGGGTGGGTCACAAATATGTTCACATTATGATGTGAGCATATACATTATGATGTCTGAGTACAGATATTCTTTTTCTTGCGAGTACGAAGACCAATAAGAGTACATTCTAATGAGAACGCAGGGGCGAATCTAGCTTTCGGTGGGGGGGGGGGGGGGGGGTTGAATGGGCTTGAGTGAAGGCATGCATTTTATGGGGGTCCAGCGCATACGCTCCCGGTAAAGTTTAAAATATATGATGCTTTCTCCGGCATTCTAAGGCAGTTTTAGTATGAATTTAGGCAGTTTAGCATTCCATTTATTGTTTTTTTTTACCCATTTTTTTTTTACATAACTCAGCGGCTGAATTGAGTTTGCATCGCCCCCCCCCCCGTTCCGCCACTGAAACGAGTGCGAATTCTTTTTTTGTATATCCTGATATCGTTGAGATAATTGTTTCTTTTCCCCCAATTCCAAGGATGTGATATTTAAATCAGGGCAGTTTCAGAGCTGCAGCGTGGTAGGATCAAGCGGCATCCTGAGAGGATCTGGGTGTGGCAAAGAGATCGACAGATCGCAGAGTGTCTTCAGGTAGGGTTTGCTCGGAAAGAAGAACGAGAGAAACACCAGGATTAGTCATTCCGGGTGTGCCTCGTAGCAAGACTGAACCACACGACGTCATTTCACCCACATGACGTCATTTCACCCACAACACGTCATTCAGCCGTTCCCTTTGGACATTGCTGCCATAGCAACCTTCTTTTTACCTCCGAAATCCACCAATGCGTTGCCCAAATCAGTGTCCCGTTATTTCATTCACGGGCATCAACTTAAGCCCGATTTGAACAAATTAAGTGGGTCCTGCAAAATCCCCTCAAACCTCTTGATGGATTTGAAATATCATGAAGGAGACTCAGAAAAGACTGTAACCTACTCGTTTGAATCGAGTTTAGTTACTGATATCTTTAAAATTCATTCAAAGAAACGAACCTTCGCACAGTCAAAGATACCGGAGCTGTAATGCTTTTTGCTGACTTGAATGAGGGAGGCCACTTAATAACTTCATATACACAAGTCTTTTGATTGAGCCAATTTACTGACCTAACATCGATTAGACTCCCTAGCACTAGCAGAACATGCGTGGCACAAACTAGCACAAATTATGAACTTTTTTCGCAATATGGATCGTTCGATGGATCGAACTGTGACTCGATTAACAAAAGCAATAAGCGGGACATTGCAGTTCTTCCTCAATATTTAAAATATCACTTTATAGTGACTGTGATGAATTATATAAAAATTTATAGAACTAAAAAAATCAGAATTAAAGAGGTTTTACCCTCTATCCTACAATATAATAACTGTAGACATTCGTTCTTACATATTAAAAGCACGGACCTTTTTAAAAATTGAAAGTTCATGTTTTAGAGCAGTTTTGCACCCAGGATTTAGATTGAGCTTTTTGACATTTGAATATTTAAAAAAAAAATGTTGCCCAAAATTTGTGGCCCCAGAAAAAAATTGTTTTGAATTTGTTTTTGTTTTTGGGGGAGAACTATTTTTACGTTGGTGGCGCCATTTACACCCCTATTATACTACGTGAAAATAGGCCACAGATATATCACCATGGTAAAATCGTGGGACTAGAAAAAAAAATAATACAAAATGCCAACCTCTTGGGGGGGGGGGGGATTTCAAGCCCCCCCCCCCTCACCCCGCCTCCTTGGGTGCGCCACTGCTTTAGAAGCCCATGATCAAGCAATGCTACAAAAATTTGCAGAATTATTATAACAACATTCATCTTCTGCAGGTTCAACATCGCCCCGGTGGAGGGATTTGAGGCAGACGTTGGAAGCAAGACAAACTTGACCACCTTGAATCCTTCTTTTGTAATTTCCAAGTACGTTTGTTGTTTTCCAAGTTTGTAAGCATGTACCATATGAGGCACAGATCAAGGATTTGGGGGAAAAGCCCAACCTTTACTTCTTTTGCTCCGAGTGACTACATTCTTTTTAGGAATGTCACCCCATTTTGTTTTAAGTTTAAATACAAGCAGTGTGTAGGGTTTTGATAAGACAAGACAAAAGAATCGTATGCATAATGCACAAAGCAATAGACTCATTGCATATCAATGAAACCAATTACCATATCAATGGATTATGTTAGCATAGTTAAAGAGCGCATTTTCTCGGGTAAGTTTTATCGGACAAAGGATGGGTCTGAAAATTCTATTGGACAAAGGGGGGCTGTAACATTTGCCGGGACTCTCACAATAAGACAAATGAACTATCCTTTATATTTACAAATTACTCTTACAAATTTATTTGACAAATTTACACAACATCAAAATCGTACGTTCAGAAATGTCCAGGGGCAATCTTCGTTATGAACTCGTATTAATAGTCAGCTTATAGGTACAAATAAAACCACCTCAAAATATCAATTCAGTTTATGCAATGGAATTATAGCAGGTAAGAAATTTCACTGTTTAAAATATCTAGCAGTCTAATTTCCGTTGTTCACAGCAAATACAACTGACCGATTCAAACTTCCAATTCAATATCTACAATCAAATATCTACGGTCAATATCAGCATCTAGTATCTATATTTACGTGCCTAGCAATAAATCCATACTATTAACAATTCAATCAATAAATCTGCACTATGAACAACCTGGATAATAAATCCACACTATAAACAATTCAATCCATAAATCCACACTATTAACAATCCGTTCTATGTTCACCTAAACATCACTGGCTGCCTAAAACTTTCCTATTCAAAACCTACAATTCAATATCCAATTCAACGTTTCAATCAAAATCACATAGAATGACAATTCTCGGGGTTTTCTCACAAATATTAAACTAAACCAATTCAACAATCTCCATTCCTTTTAAGTCAAAGAACACTAGCTGCTACATGTAGCTGGACACCACAGGTTACATCAATACACAATTTTCACAAATTATACATGTACATCCAAACAACAGCACCTGTGCAGCAATACACCAGAGTATATGCACAAAATAATGATCTTAATATCCAGGCAAATAGTTGCATCAAATTATTAATTCATATGAGAAATGGTACACTCAAAATGTGCGTAAATATATCAGGTGATCGAAGTGCAAAAAGTATTATTAAGAAATTATACAATTCTAAATCAATATGCTGTTGAAGTTTTGCTGATAGGGCTTGTCAAATCTGCGGTAGGTATCCCGCTCTCATCGTCTAGGTCAGAGATGGGCCAATCCAGTCAGAGGGACATGGCGTTGTACGTCGGCGGTCATGGAACCAACCCTCAGAATTCACCACTTAGTAGGGCCAGGTAGTACATCACAAGTACATCAACTTCAGTAGGGCCAGGTAGTACATCACAAGTACATCAACTTCAGTACATCCATATAAGGACCATCTATAAATAAAGTAATTAACCAACTCGATGCCAGTATTTTCTCCAAAGAAATTATATTCACATATTTCAAGGCTTGTTCAAGCAACAACAACCAATACTCAATAACCAATAATTCAAGCAATAATGGAGAAAAAACAAAAGGAAATGTAACTTACGATTGTCCAATTGTCACCCTGACCTATGCTTGTCCGAGCCACTCCCAAGAACCTCACAGAACTGAAACTTCTATGCTGATGGCCGAGGGACGGCACAAGCTGCCAAAAATGGCTACGCCAGCATGCACTCCAAAACACAGTGCTAACCCAACAACAGCATGTATAGCAATACTCACACACACCCACTTTGCTCCATCTTATAATCAGCCAACACCCACATGTACCGCATACTGGAAAGCACTCAAGCACGCCAACTAAATTCCAGCACCAAGCCCAGGCTGAACAACAAAAGTCTACTGGCCAGTGTAGAGGATTAAGTTAAGATTACAACAGATTAACTGTAGAATGTGCAACGACAATCATGGTCCTGCTGTGGAAACTTAAAATAGTTAGAAAAGTTATGTTTAATCAGAATCAGCTGTGACAGGGGCCCCACCCCCTAGATGGAATATCGGACAGAGGAAGATTTGAACAGGAATATTGGACAAAGGGGAGACTTGAAATGGAATATCGGACAAGGGGGGGGGGCACCCCCTAGATGGAATATCGGACAGAGGAGGATTTGAACTCGAATATTGGACAAAGGGGGGAGCCCACCCCCTAGATGGAATAGCGGACAGAGGAAGACTTGAAGTGGAATATCGGACAAAGGGTGGACCCACCCCCCTAGATGGAATGTTGGACAGAGGAAGACTTGAAGTGGAATATCGGACAAAACCGGAGACGCTGGATGGAATATGGGACAAAAACGAGTGTTAAACGTTTGGAATGACAAAGAGTATCATTTGTATTCATTCAAAGCAGTGTGCTAACAGTGAATAAATAGGTATTATCCATCATTAAAGATTACACTGTGGGGGACGCTGTTCATCTTCTTGACGAACTCCGCGGAACTGCTTGGAACCCGTGGAACTGCTTGAGGAGCACCGATGGCAGTTCAACGAGACATCGTTAAACACTCCAGAGAGAAGAGTGGCTTGAGCACGGACGTCGCATCTCAGTGTCCACCGCCATGCACTACGCAAGGGCCCTACCCGTACGAATGCCATGGTTACGACCACACAGCCAGTACCTGTTCCACCTGACAACAATGAAGGGCTTAGCGGCCGAGGCTGCCCGTGGCAGTTTAGCTACCAGCATGTCTATGTCAGCCTACTTGGCGTTTCGTCGTAGCGATGTTGTACATTCTTCTGTGGCAGCCCTCGAGCTACCACAAACAGTAAAGGAGTTCATTCAGTTTTACTGTATAAAAAAAACAACAACCGGCCCTTTTCAGGGCCACACATTTCCAAAAAAGAGATTGAAATCTGTGTCTGATGGTCTGATTAACGTGTGTGTTTTTTTTTTTTTGGGGGGGGGTTATGGTTCACTGCAGCAAAAAATCGAAGGTTATGATCAAGACTGCAAACTCGACAGGCGTTCAATAATCGTTCAATTGTGGCATTTTTATATTCGCGTCCATTCCACTCTCTGAGTGCGTTAAAACATTGCCCCCATTCACAAAATCTGCTCTAAATGTCTACACATAGCGGCTCTTGAAAGACCGAGATTCATCATTGGCTTCTCCCAAGGTCGTTCACACTCTCCATTTCCCCCAGAGAAAAACTCTTTTTTTCACAAGATTTCCAGCGAGTTGGCTTAATTGGTGCTCTGTTGGTGTGGCCTCCATTTTTGTTTTGTTTTATTCACTGTTAGCACACTGCTTGAATGAATACAAATGATACTCTTGGTCATTTCAAACGTTTAACACTCGTCTTTGTCCCATATTCCATCCAGCGTCTCCCTTTTTGTCCGATATTCCACTTCAAGTCTTCCTCTGTCCGACATTCCATCTAGGGGGGTGGGTCCCCCCTTTGTCCGATTTCCAGTTCAAGTCTCCCCCTTTGTCCAATATTCCAGTTCAAATCTTCCTTTGTCCGATATTCCATCCAGAGGGTGGGTCCCCCCTTTGTCCAATATTCCGGTTCAAGCCTTCCTCTGTCCGATATTCCATCTAGGGGGTGGGTCCCCCCTTTGTCCGATATTCTATTTCAAGTCTTCCTTTGTCCAATATTCCATTTCAAGTCTTCCTTTGTCCAATATTCCAGTTCAAGTCTTCCTCTGTCCGATATTCCATCTAGGGGGTGGGTCCCCCCTTTGTCCAATAAAATTTTCAGACCCATTCTTTGTCCGATAAAACTTAAATACGCCAATGCGCTCTTTTATTATGCTAACATAATCCATTGATATGGTAATTAGTTTCATTGATATGCGAATGAGTCTATTGTTTTTGTGCATTATGCATACAATTCATTTGTCTTGTCCTTTCAAGACCCTACACACTACTAATACTGCATGTATGTTGCAGTGAGCTCAGCATGGCACTATAGTGTTGTATGTCCAATAGTTGCCTTGCGTGAAAAGCACAATTGGACTGTCTTTAAATTGTGTGTATTTGACTGAAAGAAAACTGTTTGAACGTTTTCAAATATTACGTTTGAATTCGAAAGAAACCGCGCCCATTATACTGTATTTCCATTCCATTTCTGTGACAGATTGAACAACTTGAAGTTAAGGAAGGACGTTGATCAATTCGGCGCCATTCTCAAACAGTTCAAAGGCAGTCAATTGTGGCTGCCTGCTTTTGCTGTCTTTGACAACACTGCAGTCATAACCAGAATGTCACGAACTGCCTTTAATTCTAAGCTGGTCAGGCCGGTACTTGGGCATCCTGAACACTTTCTCTCCGTGTCCAAACTCTGGCGGAAGACTGCAATGAATGAACGCACATGGCCCACAACAGGTAACAAATAATATTATTGACTTTCTTGCGATCTTTATCCCTTCGTGTAATCACCAGGATGAAACCGAGCAAACATATCAGAAGCTGCCGGCCAACGAATTTGTGTTCATGCATGAGTCACGTGATTGTGCCAATGCATGAGTCACGTGATTGTGCCATGTAACCTACTTTGACCTTTGACCTCATAATGGTAGGTCAGACGAAGAGGTCACCTGGGACATTTTTCAATGTTTGACAAGGCCAACATGCTGACAGCGCTACTTTTATCATTTGAGCTTATTTGACATTGACCGCATGATGACCTTTGACCCCAGTTTGGCCATGTGACATGTTGGGGCTGGGCTACTGATAGTTTGACAAAGTTCGGTTGAAATTGGTCGAAATAGACAATGTCAACGTTTTTTGCTTACTAAGAAACTAACTAAAGGAGAGACACGACGATTGGTTGGGCTCCTCCGCAGCTAAAACAAAAACCAATTTGGCCTAAGAATTTGAGGGACTTTCAAGACAAAACAATGCACTTGCTTGTATGTGTTTTATTATGGAAAGTTTTAAACTGCAATCCGTGTTCCCCCAACGAATCTGGGCGCGACCACTGTACACTCGATAGACCCCTTCAATTAAGAAACCATCGTGCACGCTTTTTACAAAACAACTGCCATGTGATGGATTATCTGAACAATAGCTAGCACGATGCATTTGCCATTGAAGGGGGCCTTCGTGATAGGATTGAATGCGTGCCCTAATTGCTCTATCATACTGGGATGAGGCATGCCACTTCGCATGGACCAACCTTTACAATTTAAGATTCAAGGATGAACAAGTTCTCGACTCGCATAATTTTTTCAATTTTTTTAATTCCCATTTCGCAGGTCTGTACTTGATCTTATCCCTCTTCGATGCCTGTGATCAAATCAATGTCTTCGGTTTCTGGCCGTACGAGACAGCAATCAACGGAAGTCAAGTCCCTTACCATTACCACAATAACATCACAGGAAGGCACGACGTCCACGATTTTGACACGGAGTTCAAAAGTTTGGTTAGTCTCTATGAACAGGGTATAATAAATATGAAGTTAGGTTCCTGTTTGTGATAATTCACAAGCAAAATATATTTTGCCTTTGTTGGTTCTCTCGAAAATAATTTATATTGCTATTTATGACTTTCTTCCGAAAACATTTATTGTTGAAATTGTGGTATGTATACACATATAAGAAGTAATTTTCTGCGCTGCTGCGTTATGACCGACGACGTAACATTTTTTAAGCCGGAGGGGGATATTGCGATAGCGTATTCCTTCTGTGTGTGTGCGTTTGTTTATGGTGTAAATCGAGGACACACACGTACAACATCATCGATGAATTGAGGACAGGAACCAAATCGAGGACGACCTCGATTAGAAAACGTGTACAAAACTAATGAGAGCTGTTGCGAAAAAGTTAGTAGCAAACAAATGACTAGAGATGTGTTTGTGGACAAACACAAGCTGTTTCGGATATTCAAAATACTCTGTGCACGTGATGAACAATCAGTGACGTCACTAAAAATGTCATCTATAACAGCACATTATACGTACATGTCAAGTTATAACCAATCGAACATATAGGTCTGTAAATATAGGCCTATGAAGAACAAAATGCCCCTTTAAGGGACGTCACATGACATTTGATGATGACATCACATGAATTTTCATCTATAACCCATCTCGGCATTGGTACGATCACGAATTTCTTCTAGGACCATCTGTAGGTGGTAGTCTAAGTGTGTACCAGGTCTAACGTCGATCGCATAATTTACAAAAGTGCCAAAGTAGAGTGTTTTAAAACGTGTACAAACCCTATGGGGAAAAATGCATCTTTAATGTGATGTAACCCAACACCTGATGACGTCACGATCGCGCATTTCTTCTAGGACCATCTTTGGGTGGTGGTCTAAAAATGTATCAAGACTGAGGTCGATTGGATTTACGAAGGTGCCAAAGTGCAGTGTTTTAAAACGTGTACAAAACATATGGGGAAAAACGCATCTTTAATGTGACGTAACCGAACACCTGATGACGCCACGATCACAAATTTTCCTCTTGGACCATCTGTGGGTGGTGGTCTAAGTGTGTACCAAGTGTAACGTCGATCGGATTTACGAAAGTGCCGAAATGGAGCGTTTTAATACATGTACAAACCCTATGGGGAAAAATGCATCTTTAATGTGACGTAACCTGACACTTGATGACGTCACGATCACGAATTTCGTCTAGAACCATCTGTGGGTGGTGGTCTAAGTATGAATTAAGTTTTAAGTCGATCGGATTTACGAAGATGCCAAACTGGTGTGTTTTAAAACGTGTACAAAACATATGGGGAAAAATACATCTTTAATTTGATGTAACCTGACACCTGATGACGTCATGATCACAAATTTCTTCTAGGACCATCTATGGGTGGTGGTCTAAGTATGTACCAAGTCTGAAATCAATCGGATTTAAAAAAGTGGCAAAGTGGACTTGTAGAAAAAACGTGTGTTAAACCTATGGAGAAAAAGTCTGAAAAAGGAGAAAAAAAAAAGAAAAAACTAGAAATGTGTTTGTGGACAAACACAAGCTGTTTCGGATATTTGAAAAACTCTCAGCACGGGATGAACAATCAGTGACGTCACTATCAATGTCATCTATAACAGCACATTATAATATATGTACATCTCAAGTTACAACCAAATCGAACATTTTAGTTCTGTAGATATAGACCTATAAAAGAATAAAATGCCCCTTTAAGGGACTTCACATGACATTTGATGATGATGTCACTTCAATTTCTATCTATAACACATCCATGTGAATATGCATACCAAGTTTTAACCCAATCAGACTTGTATTTCCGAAGTTTAGTTTAAAGAAAAACGTATACAAAACCAATAGGGAAACAATGCATCTTTAATGTGATGTAACCTGACACCTCATGACGCCACGATGACGACTTTCTTCTAGGACCATCTATGGGTAGTGGTCTCAGTGTGTACCAAGTATAAAGTCGATCAAATTTACGAAAGTGCCAAAGTGGAGCGTTTTAAAACGTGTACAAAACCTATGGGGAAAATGTGCATCTTTAATGTAAAGTAACGTGACACCTGATGACGTCACGATCACAAATTTCTTCAAGGACCACTTGTGGGTGATGGCCTAAGTGTGTACCAAGTGTAAGGTTGATCGGATTTACGAAAGTGCCGAAATGGAGTGTTTAAAAACATGTACAAACCCTATGGGGAAAAATGCATCTTTAATGTGACGTAACCTGACACTTGATGACGTCACGATCACGAATTTCTTCTAGGTCCATCTCTGGGTGGTGGTCTATGTATGAATTAAGTTAAAAGTCGATCGGATTTACGAAGATGACAAACTGGAGTGTTTTAAAACGTGTACAAAACATATGGGGAGAAATGCATCTTTAATGTGACGTAACCTGACACCTGATGACGTCACGATCACAAATTTCTTCTAGGACCATCTGTGGGTGGTGGTCTAAGTATGTACCAAGTCTGAAATCAATCGGATTTTAAAAAGTGGCAAAGTGGACTGGTAGAAGAAACGTGTGTTAAACCTATGGAGAAAAAGTCTGAAAAAGGAGAAAAAAAAAAAAAAAAAAAAAAAAAAAAAAAAGAAAAAGAAAAAAAAAAATCTTAACGAAAACAAGAGCTGTTTCGGTGTGTTACCGAAACAGCTAACTAGAAATGTGTTTGTGGACAAACACTGAGCTGTTTCGACCGTTTTATTAATGACTGCCGTAAAAGGAGTTTCATCCAGGTCGAATGAACATGTACATGCGTATTCTATACAAAAAGTGTCTATCCTACGTCCCTGACTATGCATGAAAACGTTAGCCGGACATCGGCTGAAACGGTCACTGTGGACAGGATTTGACCTCAGCAACACGTGCGCTGCGCGCGGGCTGACTGACATACGATATGTACAACGTACGTGCATGTACATGTACATTGTGGACTGTGCATGTTTTAAAGCAGAGTTATTGTCAACCTGAAGTTTTAAGCGTGCGCAGGGCATGTCCGAGTTTGCTTATTGCCTCGAAGCTTTGAAATATTTTAGACCTACCCTTAAATAGACAATTATAGTAAAAACTAATATAAAAACTGCCATGGTTGATTTTTCAGGAATTTTTTAAGGAAAAAGGGTTTTTTCATTATAACTTCCGGTCTGATGACGTCATACACCTTAAACTTCGCACACATCTTAAATGGGTCAAGGTCATCATATACACCAATATTTAGGCGATTCCGACAAACTTCGCCACAGACATCTATTCAAAATACATTTTTGAAAATTTTCAACCTGTCGCTAGAGGGCGCTCGAAGATTGCATGACGTCATCGGTAGATGATTTGAAGAATACTATTAGCCAAGAGACTAACACAGTTAAAAGCAAGTTCATATCTATTACCACTTTTAAATAATAAGCCACTTCCGGTTTTGGCCTTTTTCGACCGGAAGCAAGGGTCACGTGATTTTACGCACACTGAATGAAATAAAGACCTCAACCTACTCTACCACTTGCTGGCAACAGAATGCTGCGGACGCGTACGGTTGATTTCTTATGCATTCTTAAATATTAAAATTGTCACAATTTAATTGCCTATAAATAAACACCGGATGACGTCATCATGACGTCATCATTACACAATGTTGTTTGAATTAGAGTCTTTGCTTGGACAAAGATTGGTGTAAATGAATTACTGGCAAAGAGTCGAAAATGCCCTCTGAAAATTGACATTTTTTTTTTAATTTCTGTGTACAAAGTCTATGGGAAAAATTAAATATTCAAAATTCTATAATAAATCACGTGATGACGTCAGCATGACGAAAAGTTTCGGGACACATCTTCAGATGGTGGTCTAAGTGTGTGCCAGGTTTGAAGTCGATCGGATTTGAAAAAAAGCCAAAAGTGACTTGTAGAACGAAAACACGTGTTATCCTATGAGAAAAAAGTCTGAAAAATAAAAGAGAAAAAAAAAAACTAGAGATGTGTTTGTGGACAAACACAAGCTGTTTCGGATATTCAAAATACTCTGTGCACGTGATGAACAATCAGTGAAGTCACTAAAAATGTCATCTATAACAGCACATTATACGTACATGTCAAGTTATAACCAAATCGAACATATAGGTCTGTAAATATAGGCCTATAAAGAACAAAATGCCCCTTTAAGGGACGTCACATGACATTTGATGATGACATCACATGAATTTTCATCTATAACCCATCTCGGCATTGGTACGATCACGAATTTCTTCTAGGACCATCTGTTGGTGGTAGTCTAAGTGTGGACCAGGTCTAACGTCGATCGCATAATTTACAAAAGTGCCAAAGTAGAGTGTTTTAAAACGTGTACAAACCCTATGGGGAAAAATGCATCTTTAATGTGATGTAACCCAACACCTGATGACGTCACGATCGCGCATTTCTTCTAGGACCATCTTTGGGTGGTGGTCTAAAAATGTATCAAGACTGAGGTCGATCGGATTTACGAAGGTGCCAAAGTGGAGTGTTTTAAAACGTGTACAAAACATATGGGGAAAAACGCATCTTTAATGTGACGTAACCGAACACCTGATGACGCCACGATCACAAATTTTCTTCTTGGACCATCTGTGGGTGGTGGTCTAAGTGTGTACCAAGTGTAACGTCGATCGGATTTACGAAAGTGCCGAAATGGAGCGTTTTAATACATGTACAAACCCTATGGGGAAAAATGCATCTTTAATGTGACGTAACCTGACACTTGATGACGTCACGATCACGAATTTCGTCTAGAACCATCTGTGGGTGGTGGTCTAAGTATGAATTAAGTTTAAAGTCGATCGGATTTACGAAGATGCCAAACTGGTGTGTTTTAAAACGTGTACAAAACATATGGGGAAAAATGCATCTTTAATTTGATGTAACCTGACACCTGATGACGTCATGATCACAAATTTCTTCTAGGACCATCTATGGGTGGTGGTCTAAGTATGTACCAAGTCTGAAATCAATCGGATTTAAAAAAGTGGCAAAGTGGACTTGTAGAAGAAACGTGTGTTAAACCTATGGAGAAAAAGTCTGAAAAAGGAGAAAAAAAAAAAAAAAAAAAAGAAAAAGAAAAAAAAAAATCTTAACGAAAACAAGAGCTGTTTCGGTGTGTCACCGAAACAGCTAATAACAGAAACAAGAGCTGTTTCGGTGTGTACACCGAAACAGCTAAAAAAAAAAAAAAAAAGAAAAAAAAAATCTTAACGAAAACAAGAGCTGTTTCGGTGTGTCACCGAAACAGCTAAAAAGGGAAGAGGAACAAAAGAAAATCCTCGATTTACACCATAAACAAACGTGTGTGTGTGAGTCTGTCTTACAGTCACAATGTCGACATTTGAACAAAAGATGTCCACATAATGCAGGTTGTGTCCACATAACGTTTCGCCCTCATTGGAAAACAGGTTTAGAGACATTTTCGGGTTAGGGTTATCAGTCGCAGAATGAAGAGAAACATTCAAGGAAATAAAAAAAAACTAAATTGGGGTTGAAACAGTTTTCACAGTTATTTTTTTGTACCGAGTTTTCTTAACTACACGAAAACAAAGGAATGTCCACATAGCGTTTGTAAAACAAACGTGTGTGTGTGTCTGTGTGTGTTATGAGACATACTTTACCTAGGAACTTGAAATTTGGTTTGTAGATTGTTCTTGATAGTCTAAAGAAGTCTATTGATTTTGGTGCCTGCAGGTCAAAGGTCAAGGTCACTATTCCTGAAACAAAGTGTCAACGCGATAACTTGAGAAATACTTTACTTAGGAACTTGAAATTTGGTTGTGTGGGTTGTTCTTGGTAGTCCTATTCTTGCTAGTCCTAAAAGGCCTATTGCTTTTGGGGCCGGCAGTTCAAAGGTCAAGGTAACTATATTGCTAAAACAACAGAAATCTTGTCAATGAGGTAACTTGAGGAATACTTTACTTAGGAACTTGAAATTTGGTTTGTGGATTGTTCTTGGTAGTCTTAAGCATATTGCTTTAGGGGCCGACAGGTCAAAGGTCAAGGTCACTATTACTAAAACAACAGAAGTCTTCCATTTTGATGAGGGACTTTATCAACACTGCCAGCATGCCAGGGGGATTGCGCAAGTCTCACTTGCATTATTTTTTTAACTTAAAATGGTTGTTGGGCCATAAGGTGCATGTTTAAAGAGTCAATGAAATTAATTTTATACTGAAACATATTGTGGTAAATGTCTTTCCTCAGAAATATATAACAAAAAAAATGAGGTATATCCCTTTATGTATTTGTTTTTGCAAAGTGCACTTTTTAAAACATTTAATATATCTCATGCTTTTCCTGACAATTGAGGTCGCTGTTGCTGTGATGTCACTTTATCAACACGCTCTTCAGATTGGGGTTTTTCTGTCCGAATTGTAGACCCCAATTCTGCTTATTTGTGCATAAAGTTTTCTTACTGTCATTTACTGAAACAACAATGAACCGAAGCAAAACATAACCACAGCAAACCCCTAACCCCTAAATAACGACACCGTGTATGATTTTATTTTAATAAACTTAACATCTGTTACTAATATAAGCTTGAGGAGAAGGGCAATAAAAACGACATAACTTGTCGTAAGATTTTAAAGATTATTTGTCGTAGAATTCATTTAAAGAAAAGAAGGTTTGCAGATGTCACAATTCAGAAGAACGTTACCAACGCGTGTATAAAGTAAAGTTTTTTTTAAATAATTAAACTAGAAGAGGACTGAAGAGAAGCTGTGTGATTTTAAATCGATGTACTCATCTCCTTTACATCTATGGATTCTGCAGCGAATTTATGACCACAAATCAGTCTTTAATCTGGTCTTTAAATGTCGAATCATTGTGGGGTCGAGGACGATTAACCATCCCTCGTTCGCTCGTACCCACCCCTCAATCAGGGCGCTGGGAAGGGCTAATCTCTTTCATAAAATTTTGTGACAGAAGCATTGGCGCGCAAAGCATTGTGGGCAGGTTACTGCCTCATCCATTTGCTCGTACCCCGCCCCGCAAACAGGACGCTGGGGGATACGCAGATGAATTGACGCTTTGATTGGAAAGATTTTGCGAGACCTGTGACCTACACTTAATAAGTCACCACGGCCACGACCCTGCAAGGTTTTAAACGGTCGTTAAAACTGAGTCATCACTCTTATTTTATATCCCCATTAATAAATTTTTTTTTGTTGAAAAGCACAATTATATAGGAAAATCTGTAAAACATATGTATTTGTTTTGTAAATTTTCGATTCTCGTCACTTGCGCGGGCTCCGTTTCAAATTCACGACATAGAGCTGTATAATACAGCTCTATTATGATTCACGCTGGGTCAATAAATTGCATGCAATGCGACGCTAAAATTTGTCCACATGGTCCGCAATGAAAAAGAAATCACATTCGGTACGGAATGTGTGCGTTTCTATGGGAAAGTTTTCGGATAGCATTTGATAGCATTACTGCGGTCTGAAACAGCTGCAGCCAGATGCTTTATACTTAGGTCATGATAAGTTACCCAGAATGCCATCCCCACTTCCTTCACAAGATTCTGTGAAGCTCATCAGCCAACCTCGTCCCAAAGGTGTCGAGCAGTACGCACCCACCACTACCTGCTCTCTCACCCTGGTATTGGATCATTTGCATGTGCAAGATTTTTGAACACGTATGCAAATGAGGAATAGTCTGGTGCCTTGCTGTGCGGTACATTAGCGTTTGATTTTGTATGTGGTGTCTGGGGTAAAAACAACATCAAGTCGTGGCGCCGTGAGTTATGAAAACACGTTTTTTGGGGGGATGTTAAAATGTTACAATCTGGCCCGCCAATACGCAATATCACATTTCCTATTGATATGAGCAAACTGGAAAAGAAAGGAGTATTTTTGAGGCGTGGGACGTTAAAATTACAATTAACGTGACGTGAAAACACGTAATACACGTTGGAAATAACTACACCAACTACACGATATAAATCCATTACATGTACATGTTGTTCTAGCAAATTGCGGTATCGAATCAGGATACAGGACGATATATTCCTATCCAGGGCTTATTGGAAACGAGGTTGGAAATATAGTAAGCACTGGAGACGAGGTTGCTCAGCAGCGTATCCCATCGGCCTGTTTGCAGGGCGGGGGTACGAGCGAACCTCATCCAGTGCCCTGTTTTTAGGGAGGTGGGTATACGAGCGAATTCCCCACGCTGCAGTATCGTGGCGCTCGATGGGCTTGAGCCCCCCCCCCCCTCCAAGAGGTTGTCAATTTTGTTTTAGTTCCCACGATTTGACCTTGGTGATTTGTACGTGGCCTTTTTTCGAGTAGCATATAGGGGTGTCAGTGGCGCCACCAACGTCAAAATAGTCCCCCCCCCCCCATTTTTTTTCTGTGGCCAAAAAACTTTGGGCAAAATTTTCGGAAAATGTTTAACTTTTAAAAAATCTGAAAAAAAATAAAAATAAATTGTGAACTTTTACTAACGTTAATTACTAACGTAAATCAGCCGTCGTCTGGCGCCAGACAGCACGCGCGCCATGGCGCGCGTGCTGTTGCTGGTAACCGCAAACCACCGTTAAATGATTGGTTTATATTGCTTGATTTGTATAACGTGAATAAATGAATAAGTGATTAGTTTCACGAGATAGTTAAGGCCCTCACCAACCTCGTCCCCAGGGTGTCGAGCAGTACGCGCCCACCACTACCTGCTCTCTCACCCTGGTATTGGATCATTTGCATGTGCAAGATTTTTGAACACGTATGCAAATGAGGAACAGTCTGGTGCCTGGATATGCGTTACACATTAGCGTTTGTTTTTGTATGCGGTGTCTGGGGTAAAAACAGAGTCAATTCGTAGCAGCGCGAGCACGGCGTGAGTTACGAAAACACGATTTTTGAAATCAAACTGTTACGATCTTATCAAGACAACATGCAGTATCATATTTCATATTAATATGAGCAAATTGGAAATGCTTGTCTTTTTACGTGCCAGCATCCGGGGTGCGTTACGTGTCTGGATGGTCCGGTTATAGGCGCGTGGGACTTGACTAAAGGCTAGGATTTTCCGTGCATGTAGTCGGACATCGCGGAGTCGTATCTGCAGACTTGTTCAGTGTTCTCTAAGCAAAACGAAAACAAATCACAGAGGGATGTGTGTGAATTGTTTTCGTTTTGCTGAAAGAACGCACACTTTTTTTGTGATCCGTGGACAGAACTTTAAAGCGGTGGTTGTGTTCTTGAAAAGTACATGAGTGATTTGAATGATTCTTGTTCTAAAAAAAAGCTTCCGACTTGGGCTTTCCTCTCCAAGATTTTAAAAGTGCTACATGCAGAACTTCAATAAAACAATGGTCCCGACATTTTTACTCACCCTGTATTTGGAACATAAGCCGAATGGCCTCCGAGTGTTTGCGAAATGAAGAAATCATGTGTGGTCTTTTTCGAATTTAATTTCTGCACAACGCGGGCGCCATTTTTGGGCCATGCCTTAACAGCGCAGTTTAACGGGGTCGAAACGCTCAATTTAATTTTCAACTTTTTTCCATGTTGGTTTACGATTATGTCACTTTTGTCACCATTGTACAATAATATTGACGATTATGTAAGGAGTCCTAAACTATATACAATCACTATTATTTTGTAAATAAAGAGAAACGACAAGACTTAGTGTTGAATAATTGCGCGACCGCCATTTTCTGACGGTCGTTGACAGGCCAATAGTTCGACTAGAGTCGTTAGAGCCGTCCGCAATTCAACTATAGTGCGCATGCGCTAGGTACGTCACGAACCAACCACTAGTTAACCACTGGTTAACTATATAGCTATATAGTTAACTATATAGCTCGAACTTGCCCTCAGTTAATCAAGGGCGGATCCAGAACACAATTTTTTGGGGGGCCAAAAAAAATTTTGGTCCCCCCCAAAAAAGTGGGTCTAAAAAATTACGGGGTGGGGTTCGGGGCCCGTGAGGGCCCCGAAAATTTTTTGGATTCTAGATGCTCTGTGGTGCGATCTGAGGCAATTTCTGACCACTTTAACCATTTTTTTTGAGGAAAAGATGGTGGTGTACTCATTGCCTGCCTTTATTGCGATGTCACATTAAAAAAAAAAAAAATTGGTTTCGTTTTGGGGGGGGGGGGGGGCCATGGCCCCCTTTGGCCCCCCCCCCCTGGATCCGCCCTTGCAGTTAATACGAAACGCAAATTTGAAAAGGGATCCAACTGGAGTCGTGAACGTTATTCCAGAGCAAATATCCATGTCAGGAAATTCTATTTACTATCAGTTTCAGTATCGACCGACGTGTATTACCTCATCCAGTCCGTGTACGTTAGGATAAAACAAACCTTCACCAAGTTATTCTGGTATATGACGGTTGAAAGTCACCGATTCCCGACAGTAGCGATGGCGAGATGGATGGTACTCGCCGACAGCACGGGTAGATATTGCGGCTTCTCGCGATGGATTTTCCGGTGCAGTCGGACATCGCGGAGTCGTATCTGCGGACTTGCTTTTCTGATATCTGTGGTTTCGTTCGCTGCTACCATTTTGTTTTTTCTGGGCGGTTTTCACGCAACTCAGACCAGGCAGGAACATGTCTACAGTCAGGAGTTGAGACTAGCTAACGGTAGACCTACTCAACCCATGGTGAATACATCCTCTTCTCATCGTAACACATCGAGGTAAGATGGTCCGTGTTCCATTCAGAGAGATGAAGCAGAAATGAAAATGGAAATTTAGTAGAAATCGAAGCCATAATCGGGGATACCAATAAGAAGTTTACAGACATCAATGATAAACCAAACTCTTCCTCATTGTTCACGGACATTGTAGAACCAATAGGCCTATCGCAGACTAAAACTCACATGGGAAGGAGTACACTTTGATACCTTCACCACAAGCCTTTAATAGAAAAACTAAGAAATAATCGGGAGAAAACAACCCGTGCTCTTGTACTTGAAAAGTAAATATCAGAACGGAATCGTTGTTTTCTTCGTTAGGCCGAGTGAGCGATAGACAATGGGGAAAAGTGGGAAACAAAGCCTATAGGGGGTGGGGACATTAAGGGTACTGCGATGGATAGGGAACATTGCTGTTGATGTACCAGTACGTTTTCATATTCATATTGATTAAAATGAAAGGCATAAAGAAATGAAGCAATAATAGGAATGCGTAAATAAAATTGTTATCCCTAATTATCTTTGGAGTCTTATGTTAAATATTTCCCATAACCTCGATTTCTACATGAGGTTTTCCGGTATATTTGCATTATTTCTCCTGTTACGGCGCTACCTGCAACGGCCCACATTTTTGCGAGTAATAATGCGAGTTCGCTCAGGCTTTAAAATATTTGGTTATAACACTAATTACTTTTGTGATACTAAGGGCTTGGCTCCGGGCAAGCGGTGTCTGTGTCCCTCAACGTGCCGAACGCCGGGTTGTTCGGGCCCACGAAGTTGTATCAGAATAAGTCGTCAAATTGTTTGTGTTGTTTTAATTTAAGATAGTTGGTTTTGTGCTGGAAATCTGTCTACAAATTGTCTATCTGTTCGTTGTGTTCGTGGGCCGCCATGCCGTACCGCGCTGCAACAGAGTCATAACACTTCGTTGATCTACTGCCTCGGTGACAAAGTGAAGAACAAAATGCTGACATATCATTATGCATTAATTACGATGCGACTGTTAACCAGCAGAATTCACAATTTAATTCGATGACAGATGACGCTACATCGTTTCCTGGAAATTAAATATCAAACTCCCGGAAGGAGCTAACCCCGGCCCAGCGGGGATATGGATTAAGGGTTAGCGCAATCTGCATAAAAATTCCCATAGACACCAGTGCTAAATGCCAATACTTTCGTTTAGTTCAATTCATTTAAAAATACAGTCCACAGATGTTTATGCCGCACAAAAAAATGATGATCAACATGTCAACTTTCATTTCCTTTTCAATTTCTGGTGGGTTGTCCATTGCCTTTTTTCATAGAAATTGTCACCAAAAGAAGACGACCCCTAAAACGATCGAGTGTTTCGCAAACGGAAAAGTAGCCTTCTTGAAAAACGATCCCTCCACAACATGGCTAAATAGCGCCACTTTCGGGTCCAATTGCATCCAAAATGTTCGGAATTGGAAACCTCAAGTCCGGGCCAAAGGTGCATTGCCATATGCATGGGCGTCGCCAGGATTTTTTCTAGAGGGGGGCAAAAAAATTTTTGCCAAAAAATGCTTGTATTTCTCAACACATTCTCGATTTATCGGTTTTAGAGGGGGGCAGGGACATTTTGCCCCCCCCAACTCATTAAATTTACACCACTTTGTCTTCGCGCCTTTTTTTCTTTTTTTTTCTTTTCCTTTTTTTTCTTCCTTTTTTTTTTTTTTTTTTTTTTTGCTTTTCCAGGGGGGGGGGGCAAGTGCCCCCCCTTGCCCCCCCCTCGCGACGCCCATGGCCATATGTCTTCAATTCCCCAATTCCATGGCTCTCAGAACTCTCTAATATAGAATATTTGATTGTATAGCTTTTATTCATGAACTCGGCGGACGGATTGTTGGCCTACTGGGGTGTACCCCTAAGTGCAACGGTACATTTTATGATCAACCACTGTGACACGAGTGCATCGTTACACACTGGGCTTGCTGGACTCGCAGTGTCGCATGACTTTATCTCAGTACACTCAATGACTCAGTTATATAGACCGTTGTTATATTTATTTACAAATTGGATGTTGTGGTCACGTGATGCCAATTAAACCCGTTCTCTTCTGCACTGCATGTATATCTCTTGAAATGTGATTGGTGTGAAAGTGATGACATAAACTGTTTAACGTGGACAAAATCACATGCAGAAGGTGCTTAATGTTTGGGCTGCCCGTCGGTTGCCCGCTTGGTATGACGTCACAGAACACGTGGTCCGTTCAAGGGCGGATCCAGAACACAATTTTTTTGGGGGGGGGGGCCAAAAATTTTTTGGTCCCCCCAAAAAGTGGGTCAAAAAAATTACGGCGTGGGGTTCGGGGCCCGCTTAAGGGCCCCGAATTTTTTTAGGATTCTAGATGCTCTGTGGTGCGATCTGAGGCAATTTCTGACCACTTTAACCAATGTTTTTTGAGGAAAAGATGTTGGTGTACTCATTGCCTGCCTTTATTGCGATGTCACATAAAAAATAAAAAAAATGGTTTCGTTTTTTTTTGGGGGGGGGGGGGGCCATGGCCCCCTTTGGCCCCCCCCCCCTGGATCCGCCCTTGGGTCTGTTGTTAGTCAGACAGCAGTGAGTGGCTTTCGCTCCAGCGTAAAACTGCAAACACTAACTGCAGGTATTATTGAAACTGGATTCCTGCTTTAAATTGCAAACTGAAATTGAAATATAATTATTGAATTTATTACTTTCCCCATTAAAACCAACAATTATAACAGTTATCATGCAAGGAGAAGATGTGGTAAAATAGAAATAATAATAGGTAGGTTTCTAGTGCAGTTACACTACGGAAACGACACCGTGTACAAACAAAATGCTATATCAACAAGATACCACCTGGGCCTATTTCACGAAACAGCGTGCGATAGAAGCCCGCCTATGCAACCGATTTGTGTACCTGCGATGCAAGAACGATCGATTTCGATAAGCAGCTGTCACGGGTTTTTAAAAACATATTATAAAAACAACTTTAATTGAGTTTAATGTAATCCAACTATATCGTCCAATGTGGGAAATTTTGGCATTTTACATCTCACGCATCAATTAGCCCATTAACCCTAAAAGGGCCGGGAGAAGAATCCTCCCCCCCCCCGACTTTTTCCGCGATAGCTTTAAAAAAGAAATTCGCGACCCAAACTGTTATGACTTTTTAGCCTCGAGCCTTGCGCATCTTTTTAATACCAAAAACATGAAAAAAAATTCCGGCGCTACGGCGCCGTGAAAACTGAATGTTCCCATATACGTCGTGTACACAGAGCAGAATTACCATTCGTACATATGAATAATTAATGAGCCATAATTGCAAAACCCTTTAACCTATAGTCATAAAATTTCTTGGGAATGTTCATGATGAGTTGTTCTATGTATGTACGGAGTTTCAAAATTGTTTGTCACTCGATGGCCGAGATCTTAGGGATTCCGCCCCCCCCCGGCTGAGAGATGGTCGAAATAACCCGGCCCTTTTAGGGTTAAACTCTGTACGATTCAGATTACACAGCAGCCTATGCCGGTTAAAGGGCCAACGAAGAAGCCAACGTGAATCGTCGTTGACGGGCAAAACCTACTATTGATTTACATCACCCAGACGCAAATTCCATCTTTTGAATAGTTTAATTGCGGCACCCACTGCTAGTTATGCTCCATGTACATCAGATTCGAACCAGCCAACCGATCCCGCAAGGTCGGTGGTCGAGTGGTATTAAAGACATCTGCACTAGAAAGCAGAGGGTCGAGGCAGAAGGGCAAAATCTAATATTAATATGTAAGTATGTATCAATAATTCACGAGAAAAGAGATACAGAAATATAAGTAGTCGGTATTTTTACGTTTATGGGTTTTTAGTTGAGGTTTTTTTTCTTCTGTGGATGGGGTCACAGTCACATGGAGCAACACAATACACATTAATTTACCAACCACAGAAAAGATTTGCTAAGTAATACAAGGTTGCATGCAATTAAATGTTATGGATCGCAGCTGATTCGTGCTAAGCATATAAAATGGGCTAAGCACCTCCATGAAACGGAGCCCTGGTTTCTTATAAACGGAGACAGACGCTTGGTGGTGTACTCTATTTTGGGGAATAGACTGGTTCCCGGTCCCTCAATTGTCCTTCGGACTTCGAATGTAGGGACAGGTAGCTAGCAGTGAATATATGCAAATTATATGCAGGACTTGCATAGGTCTGATTCCCACATCCTGATTTAAAAATCACAACGATAATCTTTGCGCGGAACCACCCTTTTGCAAAATGGCAACAGGCTACTATTAAATGTGCCCTTTTTGTGGTGATGATCTTCGATTTTCGCAGAATTCGAAAGTGTCTCTGGCAACTATATCAATAAAGAGAGCAAGGGCGGATCCAGAACACAATTTTGGGGGGGGCCAAAAAAAAATTTGGTTCCCCCCAAAAAGTGGGTCAAAAAAATTACAGCGTGGGGTTCGGGGCCCGCTTAAGGGCCCCGAAAAAAATTTGGATTCTAGATGCTCTGTGGTGTGATCTGAGGCGATTTCTGACCACTTTAACCAATGTTTTTTTTGAGGAAAAGATGGTGGTGTACTCATTTGCCTGCCTTTATTGCGATGTCAAAAAGTGGGTCAAAAAAATTACGGCGTGGGGTTCGGGGCCCGCTTAAGGGCCCCGAATTTTTTTTGGATTCTAGATGCTCTGTGGTGCGATCTGAGGCAATTTCTGACCACTTTAACCAATGGTGTTTTTTTTTGAGGAAAAGATGGTGGTGTACTCATTGCCTGCCGTTATTGCGATGTCACATAAAAAAAGAAAAAAAATTGATTTCGTTTTGGGGGGGGGGGGGCATGGCCCCCTTTGGCCCCCCCTGGATCCGCCCTTGAAAGAGAGTTGCATATACTAATGCATTCACCACACACGGAACAATTAAGTACCGTGCACGTGCAAATACGACTAAACTGTAAGGTATAATATGAATATGAATATTCCCCTGATTTTCAACCAATCAGACTTCTACGCCTACACGTATACCCTGCCACCATGGGAATTGCCAATTTGAAATTCGTCTCCACGTGTCGCCTTTTGATTCCTTTTCTGATCCGATTGGAGCAGAGTAGAGTAATACTTTAAGAATATTAATATACGTACAGTAGGAGAGTTCTATATATTCGGATAAGGGTAACCAGTAGTGACATGTGACTGATTCACACAAAAATATCTTATTTCATTCTCCAATTGTTGGAGTAAATCCATATGCAGCAATGGTTGAACCCTTGTGTTAATATATATCGCCTATCTGCCCGAAACGGGTTTCAACATAGATTCTTTCTTCATGTGCCTTCTGGCTCTTTTCTTCTTGTTTTGCTGAAGTCTTTTGTCATTTATACTTTGACATGTATTATTTACAAGTTTTCTCCATTTTGGACGATTATCTACAGTACTACTCCACTCGTCAAGTACCTTCCCACATTTGAGTGCACTTTTGCAAGTGTCTTTAAAACCTGAGTTATTTTTATTAAGAGAGATTTATTGATTTATCGGTGTATTTGGGCTCCGACTAACACAAGAAGCACTTGTTACTTTTAGCAGACTTCAAGATTCACAGCATATGGAGTCCAAGGAGCATGTAAGCATGCATGTGGAATCGACGAGGACACCAGCTAACTGGACAACAGCAAGGACCAAGAGGTGCGATTATATTAGGCTATTTTAGAAACATTTATGGATCTTGTGTAGTGTATTTTTTTATCATTAAGTCACAGTTCACATGTCTTGGGCAATTCATGATATTGATCTTCCCCCCCCCCCAAAAAAAAATCCGAAACGAAGGATAAAGTTATAGTTACATCTCCCTTCGATGATAATTACGAAGCATCTCCTGCCCTCCAAGATGATTGCCATACGAAAGAAATGACTCATAGGGTTTTCACCAATGGGGGGGGGGGGGGGCTAGATGTTACAGTGGGGGGGGGGGCAATTTCTGTTAAACCCGTTAACCGTGGTCTCTTTGACTAACAACTGTATAGTGGGTTGGGAACTGGGGGGGGGGGCGGACAATTTTTTTAGAAGGGGAGTGCGCCATATGCCCCACGCCCCCCCCCCCCCGGCCTCGCCGCTGATTATGGTCCTCTCACTATACAGATCAGACACCTGGCCCAAATAGAGAAAGATTTTGAAGGCCAAACTATATTTGAAATGTGGATTATCAGCAGAATTGGACGCATTTCTAATTGTGTTTCCGTTAAAGCACATGCTCCAAATTTAATGACTGAACCTCTGACGTTTCCTATAAGTATTCGGCGGATGGGAATGAGGGGTAAACAGACTGGTGATTATAGTCCTCCTCGGCACAAGCTTTGGCGAATTCGCATGGCACTGGGCGAACGTAAGCCGGCAAAATGACGTCAGGCGTCTGCCTTCCAACAGAACCTGAGAGTGCGCCATTTTGTCTTTGAGCTTCCGGACCCCTCCGCGACCCTTCTATGGTCATTTTACACGGAGTTGCCCTTTCTTTCTCTCGCTAAATTTGTGAGAGAATGATTTTAAACCGTAATCACCACCGAAAAACATTCATGTTAGAATTTTATCTTGGCATTCCACAGGAAAAAAATGATGAGAAATTAGTTGGAGATGGGTAAAAACGAATTTTTCTTACCACCTTTCACATCCGGATTTTCCTACCTAGGTCTCCTTGTTCGATCACGTTTGTTTTTACGTCGCGTACTTGCGTGAGAACGAAAATTATAACGACGCGAAGAGTTACCTACCTACATCCGATGGATTCTAGATTTAGTCAGGCTTTCTAGAATACAGTTCTTATCAACGGTCATTTTAGATTTGTTTGTAAATGTGAAAAAGTCCTTCAAGTTTATTCAAAAAAATTGTGTGTCCCGGGACACATGATTTTAGTCTCCTATTTAAGTTTCAGTTTTTACCCAATGACAGCTACAAAATTATTTCATAAATTTTCATCTTTGTACGATCGACTGCTCTGAGTTCCACTAGTCCACCTGGATTTTAGATTTTCGGAAGTGAACGGTCAATTCTTTTGCACGACATTTCTCTTTCACAAAGTGCAATTGGTTAGTTTTCATAATTTGAGATGCTTGTAACAATTTCACAAAGGCCTTTTCCGAGGGCGATTATCTTAAGAAATCAATGTATCAAAACAGATTTTAAAACTCCGACTTCTACACGTCAATTTTTCTGTTAGAGTCCGGAAGCGTGCCACCAGGAATCAACTTTCGGGCTCTTTATGCGCTTTTAGACCGTTTTGTGTCCGTTGCGTCGTTAAGCGTCAGTCAATTCCCTTTTTGGTACCGCTGAGGGCGTATACTTGTGCACCCAATCCATTACCCCTTGAAGTGGAGGCATTTTCTGTTTGCGAATCGAACATCCTATATCTTTCTAACGACATTTTTATAAAAATTTTGGTCGACCGGCTGTCATGTGTCCAATACAAAATCAACAAAGGAACAAACATGCACACAACAGAGAATTAATCGCGATAAAAACGAGAATTCTTCCGTTTTGTGCTTCAAATAGATATGGAACTAAGAGGCTTCTTCCTCAAAAATAATGATATCTCTGTCTTTAATAGCACAAAATAAGAAAATTAAAAATTTAAGTCCTAAAACACGCAACTCAGAGACTTGTAACGCAAAGCTAAATTGGACATTAGTGTGAGTATCAATATTTAAGGATGACATTCAAAAGATGTGTATTGCACAAGATGTTGAAGGGCAGCCTGGTTTCAACGGCAAAAGGCGAAATCTTCAGTTAATCAATATTCTGATGGATTTTGTTGGTTTTCTTTTTGTTTCAGAACCTTTGTTGAGAAATACCGCCATAATTACAGCAACAACGCTACAGAGTTTTTCCGTCACCTCAAAGGAATAATAGAACAAGGCCGGGGCTGGAAACCAAGTGCGAAGAAAAAACGTGAATTCAGGTAATCTCACAAAATAGCCTAAGAAATTAAAGTATTCCATCATAATCTTATGTCTTGGTTTTCATGTAGGCCTATGTCCTTGATTTTGTTTGTTTTTGGTTTGTCTAACAGCTCAATATTTAGGAAGCCGTGCATGGCATCGCGGTCTGGAGTGCGTGTGCCCTTGGGCAAGACACTTTGTCACTCTTTGTTTCTCTCAACCCAGGAGCAAGTGTTTACCTGTGAGGACAGAGATGGCTATTGTGGTTGAGTTTAGCTGCTTTGCGTTGAAATGGCAGCATCGAGCTGTATACTCCCCATACCAGGGAGCTGATATTGTCTTTGGAATGTTTCATTAGTCAAGGAGCTGGGTAATAATGATGTAGCGCCTTGAGCACCAATAATACCGGTGGATACGTGTACTCTATATAAATACGCATTTCAGGACAGAGACCATGATCACTTGCTATTCTGGGCATACCCCTATAGTATGTGTTTTGTTTTCACTCCTAGGTTCGACATTCGAAGTGAGTTGGGAAAAGCAGGGAACCTCGATGTTTTCTCGCTGACTAAGAATAACGTCCAAGTGGGAAAAGAGATGCGCTTTTACATGGCTGGCGCCACTCGCAACATTTCTCAAGCCCTGTGGAATCACTTGCCAAAGGTAAGTGGATCTGCATTATCAACCCGAATTTAAAAAAATGAGAAATGTTTTCCCGTGAAAGTGTTTTTTTTCCCCATGTATTGTGATCTGTATAATTGGAACGATTGTGTTTGTTTTCCTAAGGATGCGAGCTTTAGATCAGGGCAGTTTCAGCGATGCAGCGTGGTAGGATCAAGCGGCATCCTGAGAGGATCTGGGTGTGGCAAAGAGATCGACAGATCGGAGAGTGTCTTCAGGTAAGATGTATTCTTTCTTCAACCGATCCATCTTAGATCTTCTTCGTCTCTTAAAGAAGTCTCCTGTCTGTATCGAGTGGTTTTGCATTTTGCCGATGACGGTTAGAGCATAATAACCAAAACATCAAGTTTAATGCTTCTTTTATGAACCATATTTCTCCTTTAGAGTTAGTTACTTACTTCAGATGCCGGGTGGGACTCGAACACACGACCTCCAAGTAAAGATGCCATCACCACTTGATTACTGAGCTTGCCGTGGTTGGTGTGCCGGTTCGCCTCTTGATCTCAATCGATATCTTGAAAGATGAAATTTTGCGTTCGAGAGATGTTTTCTTTTTGTAACTGTTGCATTGTGCCGCTCATCCGAGAGCAAAAATCAAAAATTCGTTTGGTAAGACTCCTACCTGTCGGTGCATACGCCTTTCTTGTGAAGATGCTGTACATATTGCTTAAACAGATGACTTTGAAGATATGCAATGGAATCTTCTGCAGGTTCAACGTCGCCCCGGTGGAGGGATTTGAGGCAGACGTTGGAAGCAAGACAAATTTTACCACCTTGAATCCTACCTATGTAAGATCCATGTAAGTTTCCTTTGCAAGCTGACGTATTGAAGTTCTCAACAATAACATTGTTGTAAAATTTGCCACAAATTCCAAAAATTAGGCTGTATCTATGGTTGGTGACACAAGAGTAACATCACGTCCCTTTCTTCTATTCGCACACAAAAACCTCCTGTGTTATCTCCTGATAACCCTTTTATCAGATAATCTCCTTTCTGTTTCAGGTTGAATGGGTTAAAGACGCAAGCCGACCGTTCGCAATTCGGCGCCGTTCTTAAACAGTTCAACGGCAGCAAACTGTGGCTACCAGCGTTTGGTGTTTCGGGATTCTTTCCTGTCATACAGTTAACCGCTGCTGCTGCCTTCGATTCCAAGATGGTCCAGCCGCTACTTGGGCATCCTGAACACTACCTCTCTGTCACCAATCTTTGGCGAAAGATGGCAATGTCGTATGCCTGGCCAACGACGGGTAAGTATGGTGGCCCAGAAGGGACAAAACATACAGCAATTTTGTTTGCAAGATATTGCAAAGTTGCTCGTGTTGATTAAAAATCGGGGAGACAGTGGTTTTTTTAAAATCATAATGTCGTGGATTTGTGAGTGATATCGGAAAAGAAATTCTGCCAAGAATCTTGGGATTTCTTGAGAGAAATTCGCGAGCTAGTGACATTCCTGTATTGGGCAATAAAAGGAAAGACGATCGGCCCGTCACCAGCATCTTTCCCTTTCTTTACTTGACCCACGACCTCAGTGGAATGACCAACTACTGACAATTTCATCTTGAACGCAGTGTGGACAATGAATTAATTCTCGAGCTTTCCATTTGCCACAATATCAATAATAATTAATGATTTGAGAAATGCACCAAAGTAAATGCTTTCCCTCTGAATCAGTTTAGCGCTTACTGTGGTGATATCCTGGTGGCTCTGTAGCGAATCTGTATTACATTTAAACAAATATATATATGCAACTGTGAACATCAGCCACATCAGTTATTGACTGAAGAGGTCATCTGATGGGTCAATCAAATGGTTCACTGTAGCTCAGAGAAAAAAATAGACGAAAATATGTACAATAAAATTACAAAATTGTTTAAAACAGAAGCAAAAAACAGGAACGAAAAATATGATGCAGAGGTGACATACATGTATGAACTTACTTGACCTCAAATACAATGCACGCTGTTATAAAAGAAATGATACTTGGCAAGGCATGGAAGAGCTCGAACCCTACAGACTAACCCTACAGAGAGACAACATATTCTGATCTTAATGCACTGTTCTCCCGCAGAATAGGGTACATGTCCAGCCAGAACATAATTAACAAGTGCTCTAGTAAGTCAGGTATCTATCCTACCTACTAACAACCGTGCCTAGCGAGCAGCGCACTTGGTACATGTTTAATAAGAAGAGGCAGTTGACAGAAGATGCTTTTGAACGCGACCCTTGAAAGATTGGACACCACTATCAGAAGTGCCCCCAACCACAAATTCTGATTGCTCTTTGCAGGATGCTTCTGTCCAGGGTGTAAGTTTTGGCATCAGGCAAGGAGATGACAAGAGCCAGAATGGATGCGCTAGATCGTGTAGCACGCCGCCTTTTGTAAAGTGGTGGTAGCATAGCTCGAAGATCTGAAGGGCTATGGCTGGTGTGCTTTCTGTACAACACTGTAGCTACATCAACTGTCTCCTGTGATGTAATCTAGTTATAGCAAACTTCTCAAGAGCAATGGCTTCATCAAACCCAATAATTTTGAGAGCCTTTCTTTGAATGGAAACGAGTTGGCTGGGGATGGGCTGTGAAGTATTCATCCAGTTTAAACAGGCATACTCAATGATGCTACGCACCCGCGCTTTATAGACAGTGGCCCCGGCCTACCCTTGATGTCCAATTTGTTTGCAACTTTCCGCAGTGTCCGGGACTTGGAGCAGCTTTCTTGGAGACTGTGGAGATGCATACCAGCTTGCTTTCAATGGTATTTAACACCAAGGATCTCAAGCTTATTCTTTCCTGCCAGCTTGCAGTTTCCATAGTACAAATCAGGGGTAGATGAACTCTTTCTAGATATCATCATCTTTGCACTTTGTTGGTTGGAATGTTGCCATCCAGGCACCCGCCCAAGATTTCATCATTTCAAGGTCTCTGTTCAGGTTGGCTGACATTTGGTCACTTTCAGTGGTTGATCTCATTATGTGCAAAGAGGCTGCATTGAGTCATTGGCATAAAGGTACGTCTCATTTTCACAGACATCAACGAGATCATGAATGAAGACAGAGGACAAAAGTGGACCAAGTATCAAGCCTTGCGGGACTTATCAATTGATATGTGATGAGTTAGAGGTTTTGCCTGAGAACACAAATTTAAGGAATCTTCCATGAAGGTAGCTGTAAAACCCAGTAAGCAGCATTCCAGATATCCTCTTGGATCTCAACTTGGCAAAGAGGGGTGAACTTTCCGAATACGTTATCAATTACTTATGCTATTCACAGTGAGGCCTTAATTTTTTCCCCCAAGGTAAATCTTCACAATCCCTTCAAAAGATCTTTAATTTCCCTCCCTTTTCTCAAAAAATAGATGACTTCATGTATTAGCAATAAAACGGTGTTCTGTTCCAATTCTGCCCAACAGGTTTGTACTTGATCTTATCCCTCTTCGATGTCTGTGATCAAGTCAATGTCTTCGGTTTCTGGCCGTACGAGACAGCAATCAACGGAAGTGAGGTTCCCTACCACTACCACAATAACATCAAAGGAAAGAAATCATTACACAGTTTTGACACGGAGTTCAAGACCTTGGTAAATTTGTTCGAACAGGGTATCATCAAGATGCATTTAGGTTCCTGTTTTTGAGATTTCATAAGTTCCATCGTCAGGGTAGCGAAAGGGGGTTACTCTGCATGTAAACTCTCAGTCAGCAAACGAACCGTAAAATTAGGATTCTCCTGTCATTCAAAAAGAATTCTTGTGTAATTTTCTGGCAAACATGCTTTTTTGAATAGTGCCTCCTAGTGTCAGACTATACCAAACGGCAGATCGAGAGAGGGGGCAACGGGGGCCATGGCCCCCCTTCCCCAAAAACGAAACCATTTTTTTTTAAAGTTGCGTCGCAATAAAGGCAGGCACTGCGTACACCACCATTGTTTCCTCCAAAAGATTTGGTTAAAGTGGTCAGGTCAGAAAAAGCCTCAGATCGCACCACAAAGCATCTAGTAGCCAGAATTTTGGGGGTCCTAAAGCGGGCCCCGAACCCCACGCCGTAATTTTTGGGACCCAGTTTTTCGGGGACCAAAAATTTGTTTGGCCCCCCCCCAAAAAAAAACCCCCAAAAGTGTGCCGGATCCGCCCATGACTATACCCAGTATTGGCGCTATACGGCACAAGATGTATAGCAAAAGAATAGACTGTGCAAGTCTCGCCAGTCCACGTTCACTTGGTATGTTAACGTCTTGGTACAAAACACTGGCTAGTCTAGGCACAGTTTCCTGGGTTTGAATTCACCCACTTGTTGTCCGCATGATTGATTGAGAAGTTGAGGTCAACAACTTTAATTTTGTAAGAGTCATCAATTCGCAACGTTTTCAATCATGTCGTAAATTGTAATACAGTAACTTTCTTTTCGTTCGAAATACCCATTTATTGCCCTCAATTGGATTGGTCCAGTCAGGACACAAAATAAATGCAAAAATAGGTTGTTATATACACGTTGTAGGTCATAATCTACGTGGTGCCCGGATGAGCTGCATTCTTGTAAATTCTCGCAGGTTTTTGAGGTCCTATTACAAAAGCACATGAAAGAAAATTTGCATACGAACCTTGTGTTGCATTATAAGAGCCGCAGGCTTTATGTTTTGTTGAGAAAAAATATGCCGTTATTATTTAAACAAAATAATGACTGTCTGAAATCAGATAATTCTGATATTTTCGGGGTACATTATTGGAACTATAAAGCGGGATTTGAGTGACGTTTACCATACATACATTTTTATTGCAAGTTTGGAGTCTTCCAGGGTCTGTTTTTTGTGGTTTCGTTTGTTTCTTTTCATACTTTCATTGTGTTATTTCGCCACAAGCTAGGCTAATTTACAATTGTTCAAAAGTTATTTGTTATTCGTTGGGTTAAATATTAAAAACGTTATTTTTTTCACTTATCCATATGTAATATTTATTTCTGTGCATACAGAATTGCATCTAGTAAAACCATAGTCAATTCCAATCTTGTACGAACTTCGTCAAGCCCATGTATTTAGAACATTATCCAAGAAAAAGTGCAATATTTGGCTTCAATGGCCGGGACTTTTGAGTGCAGATTATTAGTTTCAGTTTTACGATTAAATGTTGACTATTTTTGGCTTGTCATTCTCTGTCTTGCTGTTTTGTACTCATGATTGTTTTGTATACCCGTACACTGGCTTTTTTAAGCCCTTATGTGACGCACTTTCTTGTCCACTCTTGAATCTTTGCAAATATGCCTACAATCCGGCCAAAGTTTGCTGGGCCTTCCGTCCCCCCGGCCACCGGCCAATGTTGTCTCTCATTGCGCAGAGGTGACAGCTGGAGATGACAATATTGACCGGGGCAGCTGGATACCAGGGGAGGGTACAGCCATGTGGGGACTGTAGCTCAGAGATAAAAAGAGACAAAAATATGTTCAATAAAATAACAAAATTGTTCAAAACAGAATAAAAAAAAACAGGAACGCAAAATATAATGCAGAGTTGACATACATACATGAACTTACTCGACCTCAAATACATGCGCGCTATAATAAAAAAAAGAAGTGATACTTGGCAAGGCACGGAAGAGCTCGAACCCTACAGCAGGCGCGGTTCTACGGGGGGGGGGGGGGGGGGGGGGCTGGGGGGGGGGGCTCTAGCCAAATAAATTCCGTAAAAAAAAATTGCATTAGCAAAAAGAAGGATTGTGATGTTCATGCGAACGGTCTCCCCCTAAAGAAGAAATAGCCGTAACAAGGGTGCATTAGTTAATATAGTGTGAATGATTTTAGGATTTTATTAGCGCTCCCCATTGAAAATATGGCATGAGCCCCCCCCCCCTCCCCCCCCCCCCCCCCCCCCCCCCCACAACCCCCACAACACACACACACCCTATTGACTTTCGGAGGCCTAAGTGTCTGGGAAAATAACCGGTCAACATTTCAGCACGCCTCCTTGAAAAAAAATTTGGATCCACCGTGCTAGCCCCCCACAAACATTGGTTCTAGAACCGCGCCTGCCCTACAGGCTAACCCTACAGAGAGACAACATAGCTTAATGCACTATTCTCCCGCAGAATAGGGTACAAGTCCAGCCAGAACATAATTAAGTGTTCTAGTAAGTCAGGTATTTATCCTACCTACTAACAACCATACCTTGCGAGCAGCGCACTTCGTACATGATGTTTAATAAGAAGAGGCAATTGACAGAAGATGGTTTTGAACGCGACTCTTGAAAGATTGGACACCAAATTCTGATTGCTGTCGGCAGGATGCTTCTGTCCAGGGTGTAACTCCACAGAAGACTGTCAACACTAAGGGATGTGTTAGAGGATGGAAGAGTCTAGAATGCTTCAAAACTAAGTCTGTGCCCTGTAGAATTTATAGTACAGGGTTCAAGCTCAAATGGCGTTCAAAATTCCACAGCAGAAAACAAGCCTGTGGCGGGGATGATCAAGTTCGACATCCAACCAGACCTCGAAATCCCCCAGTGTGGTCAAAAGATTATGACATGTAGTCTAAACCCTTTCATATATTATGTACCATTAGTCAAGCAGTTAAATGACTAAATCCATGATAATATGACTCTTGTAATTGGGACAGTTAAATCATATCAGACACTAGATTCACCATATTATTCACTATAGGGGACTATGAACTTTTGCTACGTTACTTTGGTTTTTAGAAGAATAAGGCTTGCAAGTTGAAAACAGAAATTCACAGTTGTTGCTCATTTTACTTAATAGTTGTTACTCTAATTATTTCTTAAAGAGGAGGGGATATGTTGTGTCTACATGCATTTTTAATATAGCGCCCTCCAGGGTTGGAAAGGTAAAAGGTTGTTGCGTGGAACGTGAAGAATACCAGTTGTACGTTCGCTCGTACCCCCGCCCCTGTTTGCAGGGCGCCGGGCGGTACGAGCGAAGATGTACGAGCGAAGGGCCGTCCGAGTTCGGGCGGTCTGCTCTTGGGAACAAGACCCACGAACACAGTACTGCGGCGGAACAGGATCACGCACCACTTATCCGTCGGGGTTTGGAAGAACGATATATACCCGTGTCAAGAACAAGACCCGCCCGAACTCACTCGGCCAATAAGTGCTTGCTAGATGATACTTCTTTCATATTATTCTAGATTTTTGTTATTTCTCATCGGGATGCCAAAAGTCTTCGTTACAGTCTTGTCCAACATGAAATTATCAAGTTTTATATTTAAGATCGAATGTTATGTATTAGCTACATAAACATAGATTGGTATGGTTATGCAGATAAGAATAATTTTGTGAACTCTCATGTCAGGTTAACATGTTTTTTTTAAAGAAATGCATGGCATCTGTGGAGCATCTGAACTTTGGAACATCTTTTAAAAAATGTTATGCCTGAACTTTAAAAAACGAAAGTAATCAAAATTTGATGCAGCCTCAAAAAAGAAAAGAAAAAAAGCGGGTCTGGAATATGCACAAATACGAAAACAATATTTGCAGTTATTGCCGTCTTTATTTTTTACGAGTCATTTTTTTTATAAAAGTATAATCAAAAATAAAATCAACCTATTAAAGTACATGTATGAGAATTTGAGATGCCATTTTTTTTGTGGTTTTGTAATCAGACGCTTCAACTTATCTGATAGATGTATATAATTCTTTTTTTAAAAATTCCGCGTTACTGCTATTGAAAAGGGGGAGAGTCTGTTTATAAGGCCAAAAAACTATGTGTCCGGTTTCTGGTATGCGTGCGCGTCGCCGTAGCCATGCGCGTCGGCAAAAATGAAAAAGTTTTTTTTTAATGAAAGATGTCTCAAATCCGCCAAACTCACTGGTTTGACTGGAATACTGCTGCTGCACAATTTTAACGTGTTTTTAGATGGGGTTACGATCGAGAACAAGCTTTTAGTGGCTTCTCTGGACTCCCATATATTTGCACTACGTTTAGTCGGGCACCATTTGCAGTGATCAGCCGACATTATTTTGAAGCCAAAAAAAAGGGTAAAAAAAAAAAAAAAAAAGCCGCGTCGCCGCACCACATTTTGGGCAAGCTCCATACCAGAAACCGGAGACTTTTTTTTGGCCTAAAAGAAAACACTTCATTTATGGCCATTTTCTTCCGACAAAAGATGTTATCCTGAGATTCTCATCTGGGGTGCGGTTTAACCACCAAACCAATCAATTTCAATGTAGCTAATACACAGCATTTGATCTTAAAACTTGATCATTTCAAGTTGGACAGAGTGTAATGAAAAGGGTTTGGCATCCGGATGAGAAATGATCGAGAATATGCATGTAATATGAAACTTGAAAGAAGTATCATCTGGCAAGCACTAGCTCATTGCATGCGTAAAGGTTGCTGACTGTTTCCGCCACTCTAGTCACGATGGCCTTGGCGAAAGGCTAGGCTATATACCCCCACCCCCGCCCCGATTTACGCCCCTGACTAACTTGAAGACAAATTCATTGGATGGACCCTTTAAATTACAATCTTATCCAGCCAACTATATCATTTACATATTATTATCATAAGCAAAATGGAAAAGGGAGGATTGTTTTTGATGTAGTTTGGACCAACACCAAGTTCATGACATAAATTCACGATATATTGCTGTATCGAATCAGGGTACAGGAACAAATAAGCTTCCACTCACTATTTGAAAGTTTACTTTCATTCCGAAAATATAGATCCCTTTTTCAAATGTCATATTTCTTTCATTACAAATGTTTGTTTTTTTTCATCACAAAAATCATACATCGCAGCAGCAATTACGTGCCAGTTTCCATTTTTGAGCCACAAAAAAACTAATGCGGCCGGGCTGGGTATGTTTTGTACTTGTCATCTAGTCTCGACCTAGCCATGAACTCATTCTTTTCATTGCTCCACCAAATTTGGCGGCACGCCAGCTGCATGCGGTACGTGGAGAGCTAGAGAAGGATGATGATGAAAGAACTGTTGAATATTTAATACAATTACTACTGGTCCAATCCATACTCAAATAATAGGGGTGTTTTTATAATTCAAATAGTATGATGACTCTAAACAATTCAATTATGCGAATTCCAATAAGTGTTTGGATTCTTTAACTGGTAGCTTTTTGGGAATATAGTATTACATGCTAAAAATTGTGAATTTATCACTGTTTTGTTACATCAACCCATGCGATTTTGTGCGCATATACTATGCCATTCCCGTTGGTGAATCGACTGATCAGTCGTGCATGCACGACGAGCGCTCGGTTACTTAGAGTTGTCAGCAGTCGAAATGCGTTTCAGGGGGATGGTCGTAATACCTCTCTCACTCTCTTACTTCTAGGAAACCCGAGATGGAATTAAATGTAGTACTTGGGACGAAATTCAAAATTTAAAAACATCGAACATCTTAAATGGCTCCTTAGTCCACATTTTCCTCGGACATTTATTAATTTTAACTGCAACCTTTTTTAAATGTCTTTCATAAGTTTTAACGTAATGCAAAGTAAGATCAATTGACTGCAACACAATCTAATATGTATTTCTTTAAATAGACAATTTTCCTTAGTCAGATTTGTATGCACAATGTTCAAACTTTTTTAATATTATTATTCAATGTCCTATTTTTGTTATCTACAAACACGGTAGGCCTTTTACCTTCTAAAAATTTACTTTTTTACTAATCGCGTGCAATTCCGTCAGCTGTGGCTGCTATTCGTGAATTGTTAATAAACCATGTTAAATTGAATTGAATTGAATTGAATTGAATTGAATTGGATTGAATTATAAACGTGTTACATGTGTGTGAAATTTTCTGATGGAGTCGAGTTGCATACAATAATTTTAGATGACGTTATATAATCGCTCCACGTAGCCGCTGCAACTTGTCTTCCGGCGCGTATATTACGCTGAGAGGTCAACCGCTAAACGGATCTGTGCAAGTCTATGAGTGAATTAACAAACCGGTTCGTTCTGGTTTTCAAGGCGCGGTATATCAGCACAAAGCGCGCCGGTTTGCACATGCCACGCGGCGCGCCATAAACCATTCATAACAACGGGACGTACCGGTCACCGGCCGGCAACACACACAACATCAACACATCAAGCCAGCAAGACGTGAACTTACTGACTCGACAGAAAAAGAAGATTGACGCTAGCATATGGTTAGTCATCTTAAGACCTTTAAGGCTCAGCAGGAAGATCCAATTTCTTGATTTCCGAAGCAAGGGGCGACTATAAAAAGCAGCCACGATGGGAGACAGCAGAAAAGCCGACTACGAGTACGAAATGGCAGCGACGACCGACCCGGAGAAAGGAGGCGACCCGGAGAAAGGAGCGGACGGGGAGTGGGGCGGGCAAATGCAGCAGGAGCCCGACGCTGAATGGACCGGCCTGGGCAAGGAGGAATTGCTGAAAGTTGCCAACACTCCAGCATGGAATTGGAGCCGCAATATCCTCTTGATTCTCTTCTGGGTGGCCTGGGTTGCTATGCTGGTCGCAGCCATCGTGATCGTGGTGAAAGTACCGCGTTGTCCCGAGGTGGAATGGTGGGAGAAGAGCGCCATTTACCAAGTCTTCCCGCGCTCGTTCCGCGACTCCAATGGCGATGGATATGGGGACATCAAAGGTATGATATTGAGTTTAGTTTTGGTCTCAAGTTCTCAACAAACCCTAAATCAGTGTCCATCAGATTTTAATCCAGACTGTCATGACCGGCTTGCCAATTGTATTAAATGTTGTTTGTAGTGCATTGTTACGATTACTAAATCATGAAATGGTTTCGTTTGTGGTGTTGACGTGTTCTGTTAACTGTTATTCATCACCATGATTACGTGTAATTTTTGACTGGTTTTGTTGTACTTTTTGTATCATATTTGTCAAACATATTCAATGCAATTCATCTATACAAGTGTGTTTTCTAACTTGACGATTTTCTTAGTTGTTTTTCATGAAAAGTGTCGAGTAGTAATAAAAAACTCCTAGTCATGCTAGTATGCGTGGCCGCCAAACATGCTACATCATCATAACGTGCATAATTAATTTATGCGCGCGTGGTTGCAGTCGGCGCGCTGGAGCCCACGATTGAACAAGCGCCATTCCTATGCAAAATAGTTGTGCGTAGTACCTGTGAGATAAATTCGCGAATGAGAATGATGCAATCAACTAGCTAGGCCAACACCCACACACATCATGCAAAATCAACCTGCAATTACTTATTGATAGTGTGGAAATAATTTATTCACTGACGTGACTGACGTCTGAATATTTGTGATTAATTTTATCAGCCTGTGACTACAACACATGTTAAATTGTAAATTGACTATTGGTGGATTACCATGTGGAAAAAAATTACACATTTGTTTTTTTGTTGTTGTTCATATTTCAACCAACATTCATGCCAGTACAGCTTGTAATTGCAAAAACTAAAATTAAATTTTGTTTTTCTAACTTTGACAGTATTAACAATGTTTATTTAGCTGCTTGAATAAGAATGTGTATTGTACTAGTTTGGCCCCACAAATTCTCAGAAATTAGATAACACAGATAAAGCAATTACATGGTTTTGTTCCCGAGAGTTAAGTGAAACAATTAATGGCCCAGTACTTCCTACTTCTACTACATAAAGTTAATACACTATTTAGTGTAGGACATGAGGAAGTGAAAACAATCATGTGCAGTTATTGCTTAGCAAAGTTGGCATCCATTCAAAAAAGGATAACATTTAACTTCCTCTTTGTTAAAAGGATTCCTTTCTTTTTCACTACAAGTAGTACAACATATTTTTTTTTGAAATTTTTGACAACATATTTTCAATTTACCCACTGAATTTGGTTTTTTTTTCATATAGTACACATGAGTCATTGTTATAACACGTGCTCATTACACATAAAAAGCACATTATTTGGGGATTGAGAACATTTACAGTTTTAGTACTTTGAACATTTGTACCACTCCCAAAAGCATATTCACAAACCAACTTGAACTAAATGTTTGAAAGAAAATGATGCAAATGCACATTGTTTTTTTTTAACCATTATACATGTACTTGTACCACTACCAGCATCTTTGAAGCATTGAATTGAAAAAGGAAGACATGAATAAGCTTAATTCATGAAAGTTATGGCCCATGAATAAGTGCTAGATTCAGTGGTCTAGAGTACGCCAGACATGTCCCATTGGTCCCCCTGCTCTATATGCTGGCAGTGTGCCATCTGCATCAGACATTCTTTGTGGCAGCTCCCCGGAAATATTTTGTGCATGTGAAGAGTTGGCCCCCTGCCAAGTAGCTAACATACTGCCAACTGCACTATGAATACTTTAATCCTTTGAGTGCCATTGGTGAAAACACTGAATTATCAGGGGCCAAGGGTTCATGTTATTCCAGTGTCTGGGAATTTTTTAAGGCAACAGCAGGATATTCATGCTAAACCAGTTCAAACCGGGATTATATTGATGCAGACTGGACCCAGGTACAGGATTGTTTTTCATGAGCCTCCATGCCAGAGGGGTTCAGGCTGTCATTTGCGGTAGCACACCCTGATATTTCATGCCTCGCTCGCTGCGAGTGGGTCCCTGACAGATACATGTGCATGTAAATATCCTGTCTTGGTTCCTGCATGTTTATCCGTCATCTGTTCCAAATTCTGCAAAACTTTTCCCCGACGCAAACTGTTTAAACAGACCGAAAAATACTTACACATTCGTAGGAAGCCAAGCATCTTGGAGGATAGCCCAGAGTTTTTGATATCGCTGCTGGCGGTTTTCTAAAGGTTTTGTTGGTGGCGTGAATTCTTGATTTTAGGTGTTTTATTTGTTTGTAGTCCTGTAATCTGAATGTGTTATTTAAATAACAGTTTTATTTCAAATGATATTTGATTGGCCCTTATCATCCTGGATTCAGTAGAAGGGCTTGAAAGCATTTTGATTTAATTATGATTATGTTAAAAAAAATTGCTGGAAAAAAATTATGGTCAACCAAAGGGGGAAGCAGGCCTTGTAGCTCAGATGTTGCTCCTCAATTTTGTCCAAATTTCTAGATTTTACGAGTTATTTTACGGACTTTGTCTTCTCAGGGATCACCCAGAACCTGGACTACCTGGAGAGCATCGGCGTCAAGGTGCTGTACTTGAACTCCATCTTTGAGCAGCCTAAGGAGACGTCGGACATTGGCTATGACATCGTCAACTTCACCAACGTGGATCCCTTGCTGGGCAACCTGGCTGACTTTGACCAGCTGGTCTCTGCCTTGCAAGAAAAAGGTAGATCTTACAACCCAAATCACCCCTCCTTAATGTCAAACACCCCTCCCCCTGTGAAGTTGCCCCTCCAACTCTCTTTCCAATCCTCTAATCTCCTAATTTTTTCATACACTTATTCCTGCTTTGACACCAAGTGATTGTTCTGAATTTATATTGGTTTTGACCTGCCCTTATGAAGCAAATGGTTCTTGGAACCGGCCTCTTTTTTTCAGAAATTCTGATTTTGGCTGTTGCTTGAACTCACACATTGGCTGTTCTCAATGAAAAGTCTGTCTGAAGGTTTCGGTATTATTGGGAAATGGCTTCAGAAGAAAAACAGGATGGAGGCATGTGCCATTCATATTGAAACAATTACCAAACGGATGTGATACAGAAGTCTAGCATAATTGCAACGCCAGGGGTATGCACAGTAATTTAGTATGGCAACTGTTCAACCATGGTGGGGTCATTAAAGGCCACCTTTTGAAGTACATGTAGTTGTACATGTACATGTCCGTTATCACCTGTCTTTATTTTGGGGGGGGGGCAAATTTGTGCACCATGTGAGTGTAGGTCCATTGTGTGGTCACATGAATTGTCTGGTAATGAAGAAAGGGTCAATAAAGCACAAAAGAATTTCACCTTGAATGCAGTGTCATGAATAATCCATTCAGTGCGTGGAATTTTTTTTTTGAATTAGCATATTGACCAAATGATAAGCATTCTGTGCATTCCCCTTTAGTTTATGAAAAAAAATACATGTACTTTTTCGAAGTCTAAAAACTCCAATCCCCTATATTATGCAACATTTTTTTGTCCTATGGCAATTTTGACGCTTTTTTACATAGTCTTTTTTAAAAGAAGCAGCACTACCAATATGTTCACCTTGTACCATTTTGTTTTGTCCACAACTTTTCTCGAAAATTTAATTTCTGCTTCATACACATGTAATAGGATTTGTCAGTGTGCAGTCTTACAATGTACATGTATGAAAAGGGCAATGGACCCTTAACGGGTTGGAACTGGTTAGAACCACACATAATAGCTACATGGAGGTGAATGGCCATCAACTACCTGTGTGCCCTGAACACCCATTGTATGCAGAATACATCGTAATCTGTAAAACTGATAAATTCATGGAGCTCTGTGAAAAACCAGTACTGGTGTACATGTACAATGCAAAACTGGGCCACGGATAAAAAAATTTTCAGCACATGTTGTTTAAGTTGGTTAATGCTTAATGATACCTAAAAAATGAAATCTTAAAAAAAAAAAAATTGATTAGTGATTTTTTGCCTGATTATGAAATTCCCTCAGTGTTGGAGAAAATGTGAGACGCATCAATTGATTCCTTAACCGAACCATAACCTACTAATGTTCTATGTAATGCCCACAAAATGGTTATTCCCTCATCTTAAAAACAAGTTTCTATTCTAGTGTTTTCGACAATTAGGTGTCCAACAGCAACACAAACAGGAACTTGCGAAATTGGCTGCAAACTGTTGAATAGGCATGTGGCTATGATGAAGAGTTCTGAGTTTTAAAGTTTCATTTCCCATGCTTTTGTGTGGCAGACAAATATTCAAAATTTTAAAGGCATAATTCAATAACTAAGGCCAAAAAAAAAAAGTCTCCGGTTTCTGGTATGCGCGCGCGTCGCCGTAGCCATGCGCGTCGGCAAAATGAAAAAGGTTTTTTTTCAATACAAGATGATGTCTCCAAACCGCCAAACTCACTGGTTTGACTGGAATTCTGCTGCTGCACAATTTTAACGTGTTTTTAGATGGGGTTATGATCGAGAATAAGCTTTATGTGGCCTCTCTGGACTCCCATATATTTGCACTAAGTTTAGTCGGGCACCATTTGCAGTCATCAGCCGACATTTGAAGCCAAAAAAAAAAAAAAAACAGGTAAAAAAAAAAAAAGCCGCGTCGCCGCACCACTTTTGGGGCAAGCTCCATACCAGAAACCGGAGACTTTTTTTTTTTGGCCTAAACATGTACTTTTTTCTTTTGTTTTTGGTGTTGATATTTCATTAAAAAGTGAATAACTTTTGTAGTGTCAAACACTTGGCAATTTAGAAAAGGAATCTACAAAGGGCTGTTTGGGGGTCAAGTACCAAATACCACAGAACACTACATGTGCTGTGCACACTTGTATGGAAAGACATTCATACTACAGGTTACTCCTCAGTAGTATTTTGTAGCATCGGGTGCAGTTGGGGTTTATAAAGAAACTGAAAAAAAAAAACACGGGGAATCTGTCTTTAAAAAACACATCCTTTTAAAACAATTTCATTTGTGAAACATGATTATTCAAATTAAAATCCATTTTTTTTTGGACAGAGATGAAGCTGATCCTGGAGTTTGTTCCCAACCACTCCAGCGACAAACATCCCTGGTTCAATGAGAGCAGGAAGGGAGTAGACAATGCCTACAGTGACTATTACATCTGGGCTAATGGCACGGGCAGCACTGGCCGAGACCCGCCAAACGGCTGGGTAAGATGATGTTCATGGTCACTGATATATTTATTTTTAAATTTGTTATAGCCAGTAGAACCTGGTTCAGACTTGCATTCTGGAGACGTGCCAAACCAACATTATTCCAAAGAATTGAATTAAGTGCATGAGAAGTTACACATTTGAAACCCTTTACAGCTGGGTTTTGTTATTATTGCTGTGAACAGAATTGATGGATAGCCTGTGATAGTGTGAACCTAGTATCAGACTGCTATGCTAAAATAAAATATTCTGAAGATGTGAAGTAAGCGTTTGAAAAAGTTCAAGATACATTTTGTGTACCACTTCAAAAGATGGATTTTTGTAATTGTTTGGAATGACTCAAAAGTCTAGGCAATAGAACAATAAGGGAATAACAGTGTGAGGAGCCGGTCTTCACTGCGTGATAATGACCGGGTGTGGGGGTGACCGCTGTTAATTGACCGAGACGAAGTCGAGGTCCATTAACAGCGGTCACCCCCACACCCGGTCATTATCACGCAGTGAAGACCGGATCCTCACACTGTTATTCCCATTAATAAATACCTTTTTTACGAAATAAACAGTTAAAATGCTCCAATTTTGTGACTTTTTTCTGGCGATATTTCCAGACTTTTTTGTGTTCATGTTCATGGGCCATATTTTAACTTAACAGCTATAATGACGTAAACTCAACAGAAACTGCTGCCGTAGCGAAACAAATTACAACAATGTTTTCATATCTTTACCTGATGGAGGAAGCTGAAATCTCGTTTACACATTCCTTTTGTCCGGAATTACAAAGATGCTTGGTTTAGGAAAGGTAAATATGTCGGTGGGTGAAGTGTTTCAAAGAAAATAAATCGTAGATCTACGCTTTCGTCGTAAACATCCTCAGTATATACTGCACTGCAGCAGCTGTAAAATGTCGTTTCAAAACTTCCTTACGCGGGCGCACGCACGCATCCCTAGCAACTGTGTTGCGTATACGCGCGCGTCAGTCTCACGCGATGGGGGTTGAGCGCATGTGCAGTGCTCTATTGTTACAAGCTACCGCAGGACTGTTACTATATTTTGACCAATCATTGGCTTGCATGGGGCTGAACGGGGCTTGATCAATGCTGGTTCAGGGGCCATTTATTCGCTTGATCTTTGAAGCCGGTCCATTATCACCGTTAATGCCCGGCCACGTGATCGAGTCTCGACCAATCAGAAACCATCAACTCTCCAAGGTATTTATTAATAACTCTTATAAATCATCTGATGTTAAGGTTTTGGGATTAACAAAAACTTAAAAAAAATATGAGTTAATAATTCCATTTATTAGTAAGCAACTTCAGGGCAAATGAATCACGCTCACAGAGTGGTTTCTCAGCCAGAAACTCCAGACTGACCCAGTGTTAAAGGCTTGTCCGTTTTCATTCACCATTTCATCATGAAGCTAATTCATAATGGGGAATCGAAATTTGTCCAACTGAAACTGCGAAAGTTGACATGAAATTTGGCTTCTTGCTTTGCAGTAAAAGGTGAACCAACCCTTAAAAGTGAAATTAGAATGTGAAAACAATTCCAGAAAACCCGACATCATGAGTCCCAGTGGATGCAATGTTAGAGGATGTTCTAATCAACTTTCTCCAGTTTCTTCTCAACAGATTTTTGGCTTGGCTGATTGCCATCAGTAAATAACTGTTATAGGATTGATGATTCTTTTTGTTTTTCTAGAAAAATAAATATGGTGATTCAGCTTGGGAGTATGTTGCGGAGCGTGGCCAGTTCTACTACCATTATTTCTTGGCCTCCCAGCCGGATTTGAACTACTACAGCGAATCATTGAACGCTACCATGCTGGTAAGTTTGATGACGCCAGATACGTCAAGGCCGTTAAAATCATTCTCTGAATGTATTGTTGTGCATCTGTTAGTGCATGTGGCATTGTGTTTGGTCATATTTAACTTTTTTTCAAAGTATTTTAGTTATAAATAAAAAAATTAGGTACATGTTCTTTTATATGCATCAAAAAGTCCCTACAGATTCCAATTGGGTGTTAATGTGATGGCAATATTTGGGAAAACCAGATTTTAGGCCCCCAAAAAAAGTCTCCCGTTTCTGGTATGCGCGCGCTATGCCGTAGCCATGCGCGTCAGCAAAATGGAAACGGTTTTTTTTTTCAATGAAAGATGATGTCTTTTAACGTGTTTTTAGATTGGGTTATGGTCGAAAATAAGCTTTATGTGGCCTCTCTGGACTCCCATATATTTGCACTAAGTTTAGTCGGGCACCATTTGCAGTCATCAGCACACATTTGAAGCAAAAAAATCAGGTAAAAAAAAAAAGCCGCGTCGCCGCATCACTTTTTGGACAAGCTCCATACCAGAAACCGGAGACTTTTTTTTTTTGGCCTTAGGGAAATGCTTCGTTTTGTTAGGATGGGTCACAGGGCGACATCATGCTAGTCTGAGTTCTTAATTTTGTGCGTAACACAGCTGGCAACAAACAAAGTTTATGATAACCTTGTATCTCTCTTTTTTTTTCTTTTCAGAAAGCCATGGATTTCTGGCTGGACCGCAAAATTGACGGTTTCGTCTTCACCAATGTGGAGTATCTGGCGGAGCCACAGCTGTACAAGAATGTTGTCGTTGATGCTGCAGCCGGTGGGCGACGTCGTAGACAGGCAGAGGGTAAGAGACTTGAACCAGTGTGGTCCTGAGGATTCTACGAAGAGATATGTTGCACTTGCAAGCTTTGGCTACAAGTCCTTTTCTTTAACCTAACTCCCTACTGTTTTGTACTAAGTACTGGATCACGTCCGCCAATATCCATCAATCAGACCGCTGCCAATGCATGCTTTGCTTTAGGCCTCCAGGCCCAAGTCCATGATACTCCATCAATGTTTAGTGGAACTTGGCCTGCAGGACCAAATCCTCAAAAATCCACTAAAACGGGGGAGGGGCTCTGTCCATGAATTCTTCTCATTTTGTATCTTTGTGTTATATTAACAGGAACTGCAGCACCTGCAGAGCCAACAGCAGCAGTAGCAGCAGTGACACCAACCCAAGCACCTACAGAGGCACCTGCTGCACCAGCAACCACTGCTGCTGTAGCAGTCCCAGGAGAAGGTGAACAGACTGCTGCCCAGCCGGCTGCCGAACCTACCAAGGCACCTGAACCTTCACCTGAACCTGAACCTTCACCTTCATCTGCACCTGAACTTGCTGGTGGCGATTCCGATCCCGTAAGTCATGCTTTCAAGGCTTGGCAGAATAATTCCGTTTTTTTTCTTTCAAGCAAACCTATTCCCAAACCCCCAGGTACTCCTATTTTTCCCACTGGCTGTGTTCTTTACATTTTTTTCATCAAAAGAAAGACTGGTATGAACACAGGAAGGACATGAACACAGAGGCTTCTGTAAATATGGTTTGGAAACCCATAATTTCTGACAAAACTGAAATGAGAATGATACAAAATATTCATTAATAACTTTTTCTGCTTCAAACTTGAGCAAGTTTTGCCAAATGTGTTAAGAAATTGTTGTAGCCTTTCAATCTTGTCTACATTTATGTTTGCGCAACATCAACACTCGTGTTTTGTAATACGGTGATTGTTTCATATGTGAAATAAGCAAACGTCTCTGCAAATTTTTAGTCTGACCGCACATTGTTTTGCAATTCACAAATGTAATTATACTGAATGATTTGCAAAGAAAATGAAAGTTGACTATAAAAGTTTTTGAATTGTTTTGTTTTATGGTCCACAGTACTACAAGATGGGAGATGAAGCCATGGCCAGAAATGAGATGCTGGCTAAAATCTTGAAGGGTTGGCGTTCCTTGTTGAACAGCCAGAGCTATCTTGGCAAATACAGGTAGGTAGAACCACTTTAGTTGCTTAACCCTCCAACTCTATTTAAGATGACACATTTAACCAAATCATTTCAGCAGTCAAAATCAATCAGGAACTGTTTTTAAAGACAAAGTCCACGTGCTATTTCCAAATTTCATCCCCAAAAAATAGGTTCCTTGTCCAAATTGCTATTTTTCTAGCATCCTTGGGAGCAGGGCTTGGTTGGATAAGTAGTCGTCGTTTTTCTAAATATTTTCCATCCTTCCCTTATCAGGTTGATGGTGACCCAGTCCGTGTTCGACCTGGACACTGTGATCATGCAGTACGGCAAGAACAGTTCCTACTTGGCCGATTACCCTCTCAACTTGGGTCTTGTGGAAGTCCTGGACGGAAGTCAACTGAACGGCGAGAAGATCATGAAGGCTGTTGACGACTTCATCAATGCTAAGAATAGTGCTGGGGCAAAGGGTCGCTGGAACACATGGGCCGTATGTATACAACTTTTCTTCAGGATTTCTATTTATGTAGGCAGGGGCTTGAATTTGGTTAATGGTTCTTAAACCCCCACCGCCTAGGCCCTTTTGGCTAGGATCCAGCCTCAATCTTCAAAATCATCCGTTACTTCTTGCATCTGTTACTTCTTGCATTCGTTACTTAGTGGAGGGATGACCACTGCCTCAATCCGTGACAATCCTCCAATCATTCTACATGTAATACAATGAGGAATTATCAATGAAGACCAGAAGCAGTCGGATGATATCAAGTATAGACCATGCATAATTAGGCATAAATAACTCAAATGCAGGGTAAGACATTGACATGATGCATCCTCCAAAATCAATTGGCAGTAAAATGGCATACAGCCTCAATCCTCCAAAATCCTCCAAAACCGTTAACAGGGTTACTTGCTTTGTGATAGGTATTTATTAATACCACTATTTTTTACGCAAAGAATTTTGGTTGCGCGTGATGTACTGAAAGGATGGTACATGTAGACATTTGGCAGATGCAAGAGGATTTTGGAGGATTGAGGATGATTAGGGTTAACATACATTCTGTGCCAAGTTGTCCTTACCTTCAAAATCAATCAAGTGACAGTTTTCAACCCCTACGAATTCCCAGCCCACTTACAGCAGGATGGGCTGCCTTGGACTGCTTAAGTACCTTGATACAGCTATGCTTTGACATCAGGAGAGTGATATAACAGCTGTGACCACAATTTGCCTGCTTTTGTCTTTTGACCCAGTTTGACTGGACAAAGTACTTGCTTGACATATGATCTGACTGCAGGTGACTAGTCTTTGTTAAAAGTGTAGCAGGAGAAGTGGAAGCGAATTCTGACCGTCTGTGACTGCTTATATCAGGAGGGTTAATTTGGAAATTGCTCACTGAAAAGAACAGTTTCTCTGAAAAGAAGCCAACAATCGATTGAATAGAAATCGGGAATACACAAAATGATGTATCAATTACAAACAAGCTGTATACTGAACCTTTGTTTTCCGTTATTCCACAGCTGGGTAGTAATGACATCAAGCGTGTTGCAAGTCGTGTCGGAGAGTCCTACGCCCAAGCCCTGAACATGCTTCTCTACACCCTGCCTGGCACCCCGATATCTTACTACGGTGAAGAGTTGGGTGTGGAAGACATCGAGATTGGCTCCTTTGATGACGTGGTTGACCCCGTCGCTCGCAAGTTTAGTGTGAGTCTCCGACTGTTTTCTTTCTCTTATTTTGCTTCTCTTTATTGCCATTAAATATTGAACAAGCTCGATCAGAAATATCTCGGAAGCTGCAGGCCAACGAATTTGTGTTCATGCATGAGTCACGTGATTGTGCCATGTAATTTCTGGAAGTAGTTTTTTGAGGAAAAAAAAACCCCAGCTTTTTTAACCCCAGTGACCTCATGATGACCTTGACCCCAGTTTGGTCATGTGACATATTTGGGCTGGGTTACTGATACTACAAATAATTATGTAGGAGCAATAGACAATGTCAACGTTTGTTGTGGAGAGACATGACGATATTTTGAGCTGCTATCCCGCAGCTAAAAACACTACAGAGAATCTTGTCAAACTTATAATTTACTCTTTTTTTGTGACTTCAGAGTTGCGTGCCTGATATACAATTTACCTGCCTGTGACCTGAATCTATTTAAACTTTTGAGTCCGTAAATGCATTACTTGACTCTGGAGCGCCTGTCATATTTGTTGTTTTTAGTCAGTCAGTTGGGCATGCCAGTTCCCATCACATGTGCTTGGTGGAAGCAAAACATATTAATAAAGTTATTTCAAAAATTCATACCACAATATCTTACTCATTATGAGTGTCTTAACTATTACACACATGTCAAAGAGTTGACATTAAAGGCTTTCAATAAAATGGACTTTTTAAAATTTCTGTTTTATGTACCATTTCAGGCGAAATGGATGGACCTGACACGGGATCCAGAACGGGCCCCTCTCGCATGGAACGACGCCGAGCATGGCAACTTCACCAAGGGCAACTCCACCTGGCTGCCTGTACCCAACACCAAGAAGTACAGCATTGCGGTACGGATTATACCATGCGCATGTTGCAAATGATGGATTATGTCTTATGTTTTTCTCTCTCTTTCTCTTTCTACACTGTCGCAATTATGATCAAAGCCCCCAATATGTGCCTAAATTTTAAAAAAAAGGTGAGCATTGGACAAGTAATGTGTGGGGTGTTGATGCAGGGAAGGTTTATTGATAACAGGAGCCACCACAAATACTCTGCACTGTTCATTATAGGCCTGAAGAAAGTTTAAAAGAGAAGACAATAAACATGAACATTATCAGGTTTTTGTTCTTTAGTTGGGATGGATTTTATTTGATCAATAAACCGAAGGCTAGCCCTAACCCCCTGGGGCCTTTTTGTTAGTAACCATCCACAATCCTTCAAAATCGTCAGACAGTCCTGCCTCAAGAAATGCGTTCATCCTCAATCCTCCAAAATCTTCCTCTTCTTCAAACACCATTCATCCTCAGTCCTCCAATATCCTCATGTGCTTCAAACACCATTCATCCTCAAACCTCCAAAATCCTCCTCTTCTTCAAACACCATTCATCCTCAATCCTCCAAAATCCTCATTTGAAAAACACCATTCATCCTCAATCCTCCTCAATCCTCCTCTTCTTCAAACAACATTCATCCTCAATCCTCCAATATCCTCATGTGCTTCAAACACCATTCATCCTCAAATCCTCCTCTTCTTCAAACACCATTCATCCTCAATCCTCCAAAATCCTCATTTGAAAAGCACCATTCATCCTCAATCCTCCTCAATCCTCCTCAATCCTCCTCAATCCTCCTCAATCCTCCTCTTCTTCAAACAACAATCCTCCTCAATCCTCCTCTTCTTCAAACAACATTCATCCTCAATCCTCCAATATCCTCATGTGCTTTAACACCATTCACCCTCAATCCTCCAAAATCCTCCTCTTCTTCAAACACCATTCAACGTCAATCCTCCAAAATCCTCCTCTTCTTCAAACACCATTCATCCTCAAAAATCCTTGTGTGAAAAACACCATTCATCCTCAATCCTCCAAAACCGCCATGAGGATTTTGGAGGATTGAGGAGGGTTAGGGCTGTTGCAGAAGTTACAATCTTTATATTTACATCTCCAACAGGTGCAAAAGGATGATGAATCATCCACACTGAATCAGTTCAGCGTCTTGACCAAGTACCACTCCAAGCCTTCCATCGTGGCCGGTGAGTTCATCAAGGTGCTGACCTCGGATAAACTCATCTCCTACATCCGCGCTTACCCGGAATGGCCCTCCTACCTGGTGGCCATGAATGTGGGCACGGATGAGGTCATTGCGAACTACCATACAGCCAATGATGTCCATGTTCCTGCAATGGGGACCGTCATTGTTAGCAACGGCGGCAAGAAAGATGAGCTCTCCATGGACGGCCTCAAACTGGCCCCTGGGGAAGCCGTCTTGGTGGAATTCCCCGCTGCTTAAATCCGAGACAGCCTGGAGTCTCCGACTAATGGGGGTTGAATTATAATAGCTCATTATTGCTGGCGTTGTTTAAGCCTAATAAGTGATTGTTTGATTTCATTTAATCTCTTGGTGTTGGGATGGGTGTAGGGCACGTACTTGTTGGTGTTGGTTTATTTAGCTCCTAGTTCAGACGCTACATGAAGATCACAATATGCACAGGGCTCAAGTTGAGCGTACATATTCAAATGTTGAATGCACAAGTTCCTTTCTTGCTCAGTTGTAGTTTTATCAACTTTAGCATTATTTGTCAAGATTTGAAATTTGAATCTTTTGTGTACATACATCATAAATTGCCCTCAAAAAGTTGTTTGGGGGAAATTTGACACAGGGTATACGTACCAGTATTGTCTTTGCTCATGAAGCGAAGGTTATATGCAACACCTACATGATTTGTAAACAGTAGTGCATATACATATTATGTCAACAGGGTTAAAAAGAAACTACAAGTACAATATCACCGCCCAGATCCCTTTCTACCACCTAGATGTTTTTGCAAGCACTTTTGCAATTTTTCTGACTTCAGATTATTTGTAGTTTGATGAGTAATGCCTTTCTGATTAGCTTCATTGTATTTCATGATGTAACCTTTCTCTCATAAAGAAATGAAATGTCTTTAATTCAAAAAGTGTAGTGTTGAAGAAAATGGTAACACCTTAGTATAGGGATTGTGGAATTTTCTGCAGTGAAGTCATGTTCAGCATTTACAGTTTTCAGGTGACTACAACCCCAAATGTACCCTTATCTAATCAAATAAGATTAAAACATGAATGCTTTGCTGTGTTAATTAATAAAACGTCAACCCCCTTGCAATGATTGTGCCACCTCGTTTTATTAACACTCCCCGCCCTCCTTCATCCATGCAAGTACATGTACTGTGGATCTGGACAACAGCTTCCATGGCCTACCTGCTCATAACATGTCACCACAAAAATAAAGTGCATTCGGAAACGTTGCGCCATTGAAGCGGGCATTTACCATACATACTGCTATGGGAAAATAATCGGTAGATACAATAGCCTTTCGCCCAGGCCATCGTGGCGTAGAGCGGCAGAGCAAAGATTAGTCAGCACGCACGAGTTGCAAAGCCACGAGGCCTTTCCCAACTTGATTTTGTTGAATTATTCATAGTTTTTATGCAAATAAGAAGAGTGCTGAAGGTTAACCACGCGGATTTTGCCTAGTTGCTTCCAAAAGAAGGATGAGTAAGGAAAACGTAAGAGCAAATAACTGTAAGTTCAGATGAAAAATAAGTTCATACACTCAAATAATTTCTTGAAATACTTTTATAAGTGAAGTTAAAATGAATAATGTAAGAACAATTACGCGGTCACGATCTCGTGCAAAACTAGACTCGCATTTTTTGTTTTTAAATTTTGTGCAAGCATCCGGGCGCGTCGACGCTTCCGGAATCCGGGTAGTAGCCACGCACGCACGAAAAGGCTGACGATTGGTTAAAATCGAGATTATAAAGAAAAACAGAAATTCTCGAAAAGTTAGAAAAGGCCCTCGTGGCTTTGCCAATCGCATGTGTGGTCTCCATTTCCAGTCGCTTCGCCCTTTTTTCGCCGCTTTGAATGCGGGCAAGTTAAGCCACCATGGCCTTGGTGAAAGGCTATAGATACAACGGAATGAATATACATGTAACTTGACACCTGATTATGACATATGGTTTGCTGTAGACCGTGCCGCATGGTTTACAAAATGTGATAACGTGATGCGAACTGTCGCATCCCTGGTTTCCCCTTCCCCGTAGCCTCAGTAGGCCTTGGGCGTAACCTTGACCAAGTCGCACCAAATTGAGAAAAAAACCGAGAAAATTCGGGGAAAGAATGTTGCATCATGACGCCACTTTTTTCATCACTTGATATCTCGATGATGGTCCGTCATTGCAAAAATGTTGAAAAGACATGAATCTGGGATTGAGAAACATTTCTAATTTTGGATAGAAATAATTTGGAAATGCACTGAACTCGCACTTTGCACAGCACCAAAGCAGTGGCGTCTGGATACTACTTTCTGTCCAACTCGAGTACTCTACATGTATTTACAAAATTGAACAATCTTGCTCAATTTACTGTCAATTTACCTGGGGTTTTGTCCAACCGATACTTCGTCTGACTTCATGACGGGGAGAATTAACCATTTAAGTTGACAGTATGTACCATTTTCCCCTGGCTTTGTACAAAATTAATGTGGGCTGTGGCGACTGCCTGGACACCATCTTCCCATGAGGGCGCTGTTCGCTCTCGACGGGACATTGAAATAAACGGCCAATTGCGAAGAACAGAGTTCTCAGGAAAAATATATAGGAAACGTGTAAAAAAAACCCGGAACTTCATGTGAAGCCGGCTAATCATGGTAACGTATAGGACTGTGCTTTACTCCGGATGCCTGCTATTTGGGCTTCTAATTAACTTTGCAGATTCAAATCGTTGGCTGATCGTTACCTTTAGTTAATTATTATTTACTCCTTGATGGGATGTCACTTTAAAAATAAGGTGTAGGCGTTGAAATATGTTACTTTCTCAATTTGAAAAAGTATTTAAAAGTAAAAAAAAGAATAATACCAATGTTCCTTTCATACGGACGTCAGTACAAAATGTACATGTAATTGGCGATTTTCTGGGAACTAGGTTATGGACCAGGCAAATATATACGGCAACCGATTGGGCTCAAGCAGTTGGGGAAAATATTGTTACATTAGCCGAATGCACGGCCGTATTATCATACAGCCTTGCATTTGGGCACCATAATTATGATAGCAAAAATGCCTGATGATCCGAATATCATTTGGATGAACGCAACTCGGACGTACATGTGTGATGTGCGTTACGTCATGAATAAGACCATTAATGGGAGGGGGGTGTCAAATCATTGATGAAATTCAATTCCTATTCAGTGTGTATCCAAAAAAAAGGCAAACAAAATACAACGGAATGCCAGACTTTAATAGAATGAGTAACGTTAACCAACATAGATGATATAGGTTGAAAGATACTCCTTTCAACTTTAAAATGAGACATCAAACGTCCAAATCTGAAAATTTTGGACAGAGTTATGAGTAATTTTCCAAGAGCGGTCCGCCCACTCAAACTCTTATCGGACATAACCGGCAAAGACTAATTCATGCTTAAAATTCAGTTTAAGCCACACAAGTCAGCAGAGAAGAAGTGTCACTGAATGGGATACATGTAGTGCCAAATCTAATTTACATCACCCCGACGCAAAAATTCCATCTTATGAAAAGTTAATGCGGTACCAAAGCAGTGGCGTCTGGATACTACATTCTTAATGTACATACCCGCTGCTATGTACATTAGATTCGAACCAGCCAACGGATCCCGCTAGCTCGGTGGTCGAGTGGTAAGATATCTGCACTAGAAAAGCAGGAGGTTGTGGGTTCGAGTCCCACCCGAGTGACTTTTCCAACTTTCACTCGGGAGGTACACACTGAGTATACAGTGTTTATACGTCGGTGAAGGGCAAAACCTAATTTGATTTACATCACCCCGACGCAAAAATTCCATCTAATGAACAATTCAAAAGATACAAAGACTCATTAGTACAGTACATGTAGTAATTATCCGTGGTACGGACGCTGCATTCAGCATTTTCTTAACTCATTAGGCTAATGGACCTTATTCACAGGCAGCCATTTTGGTCGAGTTCCCTCAATGTATTGCACAAACTGTTGAATGGAATGCCGCCAGACTATTTATGCAACCTTATTTTACTGTCATTTTTTTAATCTGGCTTAAAACATTAGGGAATGTTAATAACACATTTTAATTTAGTCATTGAAGCATTCTTGAATTAATATTAACCTCACTTTCAATTCAATATGACCGACTCGTGAATAAGGCCCATTCTAAATCCAATGGATCGTTTTATTGTAGCTCTCTTTATATGCCCTTCTTGAACTTATAATCTTCCTTTTATACCCCTTTGTTTGATTTGTTTTCTTTTTAACAATATTTAATTCATTGATTAATATTTATTTTGAATTAAATTTTACTTTAGAAAATGCTCATGTTAAAGGGAAGATACAAGATTTGCAAACGTCAAAAAGCTAAATGATCAAATTATCACAAAATACCTTACTGGATTGTAAGGGAACGACGGTCTAAAACATCCTGTAAAATCGTAGCTCCTGGTGTGCTGACTTTTTCAAGAAATTTGGATTTTTTTCCAACGCTGGTCGGCCAACCAGCGTTGGAAAAAACTTCTCTTTTTTTCAAAAACTGCTCCCAATTTTTCATATTTAGTTATTCCGCATTTTCTTTGCAATTGATTACACACATGTGAAGGGGTTCAAGCCTGCTAGACTGATTTTCTATACATGTGTCCCTTACAATTTCCCAAAGTCTATAAATTGCTCCGTTCATCTTAAGTTGGGTCAGGGTACCAGACTACAAGAGCATGATTGGTTTTCTTGGTTTTTCCAGTATCTACACAAGCCCAAAAAGTGAAACAAGTCAGTTTAACAATATTTTTGCTATAACTTACTAATCCTCCAGTCCAAATCCATTTATTTCTGAACATTGCAGCAAAAGCACATGTTGTACATTCCTTTTTAATGCTATGACTTCTAATTTGGTTGTGTTTAAATCCAATAATCCAGAATTGAATTTGAATGTACAATGTATTACATGCGTACATGTTTATTCATAAGCAATCAGTAATTAAACAAATATGAAAATAAATAAAGCTGCTGCAAACTGCCTTCTGACTAGGTCGATCTAAAATAATTATTACAGGCCTCTGAAGATGATCTTGCTTAGATCGAAAGTATTGTTTTAAAACGATACGTAAGTTTGATTACAAAGTAAAAGATGTGACACCGAAAACGCATTACAAAATGTACTTAAATTTCCTAATGATAATCTATATATATAAGAGAGAGTTTAACTCGGCCTCCCAGACGATGTTTGCCTATGAAAGGATCCGAGACCGCGGGCTCCCGCGGCGCCAAAATCGCTCCACGTCCGTGGAAAAATGCGGAGGGTGTCTTCCGCCGGGTCGGACACTTCGGGTCGTCCTGATTTTCCCGTACGGACCGGCGATCCGTTTCGTCGATTTTTCGTGACTGCGTTTTGCGCAGGAATTTGCCGTCGTGTGCGCTTTCACGTTGACTGCCTGTCCGCCCCCTGTGCTGGCTTTTTCTGCGTGTCTAGAGTGTGCGAGGTCAGTGGCTTCGACGTAGGGGTTGCGTTTACGTGTTCTACTGGGCTGTTTTGCAAAAGAGTTCACCAAACGGTAGCATGGGGTGACCTTGGCAAACTATTTTTTCTCCATGGTGCGTGGCCATCATGTGTCCCTATTCTTTCATATGCTTCGCTTGCCGCCCCTGCGCCGAGTGCAAGGAATACTCAGAAGGACCACACATTAGTATGCCTTTCGCGGTCTGACCAATCGAAAGTCTACACTGCGTAGTACTTCCGAGCTATGCGTAAAACCGTCGGTGGCAACGCGTACTGCAGCCTGCTACACACCCTGGAAACGAGGTTGGGTCTACGGTGCTCGCTATTTGCAGAACAAGCATGTGACGTGATATAGTGCTCTGTTGCTGATGTGTTTACAGCTCCATGCATCCACCAAGGCTGACCGTTGTGAGTTCGCTGCCCGCCACGTATAATTCAGTGTCGCATTATAATTTCAGGGGCCTGTTTGGGATCAACGAAGGATCGATGCATTGCTTCAAATACTGCGATCTTAAACGCAGTCACAAAAAATCGACAAAACTGATCGCCGGTCCGTACGGAAAATTAGGACGACCCAAAGTGCCCGACCCGGCGGAAGACACCCTCCACATTTTTCCACGGACGTGGAGCGATTTTGGCGCCGCGGGAGAACGCGGTCTCGGATCCTCTCAGGAGCAAACATTTCTCGGAGGCCGAGTAAAACTTGCTCTTATATAGATGGTTGAACCAACTTGAATAAAAGTTGAATCGACTTTTTCCTCGCAGACGGTCTCCCAAACTGTAAGAAGTTCAAGTTTACGTTTATTGAAGAGTCCAGTACTGAAACTTAATTATGACCTTCCTCCATCATTCAGACCGTTTGTAATTTTATGGTAACACTCAACATTTTCATTGCGAATGACAACTTCACGTTTGATTGCATTATGATTTATTGTCAAAACTGTACAATCAGCCTTCGCCTGTGTACTACGGTAACCTTTTCACTAATTTCCCACGATGCGACTGCCTCACAAAATGCCAATTTGACAGACCACCGGTAACATTTACAGACAGTTGCCGTGGCATATAATTATCATGTGCGTAAATCGATGGGGGACAGGGGAACCCCCCCCCCCCCATTTTAAAGCGGGGACATTGTTTGGTCCCCCCCCACCTTTTCTTCCCCGAATAAAAATTGTAGCCTACTATAATGATTCTGTTGCTCAGAATACCGTGTAGCTGATTCAATTACCCCAAGCTCAAAAGTGATGTTTAAAAGATGATCTTTTACTCTAATTGGTTTTAGTGGTCAGAAATTGCCTCAGATCACACCACAAAAAATTGCTTTTCTATTAACTGCATGTCTTCTCAACTAACCCCCATTAACATTTAACTCCCCACATTTTCATCCCCAACACTACGCCCTACCCGATCTATGATCGGGTAAATCAGCTTGTCACTTATAAAACAAGCATTTGTGTGCATGTATGCGTGACGTGATGTGTCACGTAATTTCTGGAAGGAGTAGTGTTTTTAGTACAAACATCAGGTTTTGACCCTAGTGACCCAATTTTCCAGGACTGCATGCATACATTGGACGAGGTGATTGATAGCATTGTAAGGCTGTTTCTGACGTTTGTTACTAAACCAACCAGCCAAACCAACTAACGGAAATATCTTGTTGAGCTGTTTTCCGCAGCTAAAAACAAATTTAAAGACCCAACCGCACAATAATTCATTAAATGTTTTACTTAATATCTTCACTTTGATTTACATATTTTAATTTCATTTACATGTACAGTACTTGCAGTTGGCCTACTGTTCTTCATGTGGTGGCTCTTCGTAGTTGCGCTGAATGTAATTGTTAAACATTCGCATGCTGTGCATCATTTCCTGAGTTATTTGGGGCAATATGTTCGTCATATAATTGTGATAGGCCTCATGACTCCTCCTTACAACCTCGTGTAGTGGAAGCCTTTCATGTTCACGTGATAGGGGTACGTTGTTCCCCATTGGTACAGATTGTGACTGTTCTGGGCTGTTACGACGGTTGGGCTGAGGGAGTGGTTCCAGCGGGTTGGGCTGTGGAGGTGACGCTTGGAGGTTGGGCTGTGGAGATGGTACCTGGAGGTTGGGCTGTGCAGGAGGTACGGACAGGGTGGGTTGTGGAGGTGATGCACGGAGGCTGGGCTGTGGAGTTGGTACCTGGAGGTTGGGCAGTGCAGGAGATACAGGCAGGGTGGTCTGTTGAGGTGTTGCTTGGAGGTTTGGTTGTGCGGGAGGTGCTGGCAGGATCAGGATGGGCTTTTGATCAGGTGATTCCTGAAGGTTGGGCTGTGGAGGAGGAACTGGCAGGGTGGGCTGTGGAGGTGATGCACGGAAGATGGGCTGTGGAGTTGGTGCTTGGAGTTGGGGCTGTGCGGGAGGTGCTGGCAGGGTGGGCTGTTGAGGTGGTACTTGGAGGTGTGGTTGTGCGGGAGGTGCTGGCAGGATCAGGATGGGCTTTTGATCAGGTGATTCCTGAAGGTTGGGCTGTGGAGGAGGAACTGGCAGAGTGGGCTGTGGAGGTGATGCACGGAGGCTAGGCTGTGGAGTTGGTACCTGGAGGTTGGGCAGTGCAGGAGATACAGGCAGGGTGGGCAGTTGAGGTGGAGTTTGGTGGTTTGGTTGTCCGGGAGGTGCTGGCAGGAACAGGAAGTGCTTTTGAGGTGGTACCTGGAGGTTTTGTTGGGCAAGATGTACTGCCAGCATGGGCTGGTTGGGCTGTTCAGACGGTCCTGGGATAGTGCGTTTTAGTCTTCTCTCTGCAGGATTAACCCGAGCTGAGTACCGCATGGTTTGTAGTCTTTGGTCTTGAAACCTGCAAGATGAGTTTTAGAAAATGCAGTCGTTTGTACCCCGGGGTTTCTGGCAGTGGCTGCAATATGCGCCGCAGCACCTTTTAAACCCTTAAAAGGTGCTACATAATGGGTCTCATATTTCTCATAAACTTCATATACCTGTCTTTAATAATATACATAATTTCCAGCGTCTTGAGTAACTAATTGTTGGTAGATACGTGCACAATATATGACTCCAGTATTACTATTATTACCCGCTTTAATTAGTTTTCGTAAAATGAAAGAAATTAACTCTTTGTAGAAATGTAAACGCATATGCTAAGCTGTTGTCAAAAGTACACAGTGCTACTGACTTCGTGCTATTAAGCAGTGCGTCCGAACTCTACTGCGCAATAGTCGTATTCTTAATTGTTGCCATTTTGTGATTTTGATCATTTGATATACATATTGTCTCAAGGGGCTACGTCATTCTGACGTAATTAACAGTAAACAAAAGATGGAAGAAGGATTTTCAATATAAGTGCCCGGCAAAAGGACGTTAACGTGTAATACTAATGTGAGAACAATGTTCGAAGTGCGCTAACGTCCCACACAAGCGCGTACGCAAAGCCCAAAGAAAACCCGCTCCAAGAAAACCCGCTCAACAACCATTCCATATAATGCGCCGTGATAATGTCCATATAATATGTAGTATGCATAATAATAGTCAGTTTTGAAGAGCGCCCCCATTTGGAAGAATGGTTTCAAACCACGTGGCCGTAATACTTGACGATCACGTAAAATCTATCCAACCAGAGCGTGAATTCATCAGCCCTTCCCAGCGTCCTGTTTGCAGGGCGGGGGTACGAGCGAAAAGCATTTACATGTATAATCATCGTCTCCACACTTATTGTTGATGGATGGTAAACTGTGCACCAATGATGATTACCTTGTCATGTAATTAACATTCCCAAAGTCACCCTACTAACTCACCCACCCTATCAGTACTCGAACACAACTTTACCAACCTCATAATGTCTCTCGTGACGACATCTCGGACTCTTCTTTTTTGCTGTGTTGGAGTTCTTCCCAAATACTGCTGCCAAATAGGGTCTTCGTGGTCGATACGCTGCAAAATATGGTTTACCACAAGATCCCAGTCCGTGCCATGGTTGTTGTATCCTGCAGATATCAGCCGTCGCTCTTCCGCCGATACATGTACTCGCATTCTTTGCCCCGCCATGATGCTTGTGGCTCGCATGTGCTTCGTAAGAGTTTTATAAAGTACCGTCGCATACACATATCAATAGACATACATGTACGGCTATACAGCCAACAATATGAAAGACCCATACAGAGAACCGTCACATACATATCAACAGACTTAAAAAGCTAACCGACAATAAGAACGACCTAACGCAGAGAGCCGCGTGCATATATAAATAACAATAGATTCACGGCGCGCTTGGCTCACCAACAATAAGAAAGAGCTAATGTGGAGAACCGTCAAATTGAAATATCAATAGAAATCTACGGCTGGCTCGCCAACAATAAGAAAGACTCAAAGCGGAGAAAGGTCAAATTTAAATATCAATAGAAATCTACGGCTTGGCTCGCCAACACTGCGGAGAACCGTCACATACTGGTATCAATTTTCACACTCTCTATTGATCGACGCGTCAGTACTAGTAGGCTAAGGTGTTGGTTGTATATTTCGCCAATTGCGTCTTCCTAAGGAAAGAGGACAACATAGATGGACCGATATTTCCTTGTGACTGGTTTTTTTTCTAACTTTAAAAGGCAGTTTTTAAAACTAGTTAAGGTTATTGACCGTGTCCGGCGATTTTTGTTCCAAACCGTACCAGTAATTCACCATGGGCGTATAGTGAAGCACTTTTGAGTTGCAAGTCTTTATTTTCACAGGAAAGAAAATCCTCCCAAACCACATAATGTCGGGTGCCTGGAAGAAGGTCGTAAGGGCGAAAAATGGGTCAAAAGGTCAAATTCGGATTGTTCAGGTAATTGATAGAGCTTGGAAATATCTTTCATTTGTTATACATATTGTCTCAAGCGGTTACGTCATTCTGACGTAATTAACAGTAAACAAAGGACGGAAGGAGGTTTTTCATTATTTGTGCCCGGCAAAAAGTCGTAAGCGTGTAATTATCATGTAACAAAAAATGTTCGAAGCGCGCTAACGTCCCACTCAAGTGGGTACGAAAAGCTAATTTTGTTCCCGGTGTGGCAGGTAATTCTGTCCCCCCTGGTAAATGTGTCCCCCCGGACAGATCTGCCGGGTCGTGACCCGGTAAATCTGTCCGGGGGGACACTTTTACCTAGGTAAACCTGTCCCCCTCTAGGTAAATGTGTCCCCCTGCACGACGTTAAATGTGTCCCCCCTGGTAAATGTGTCCCCGTGCAACGTCACAAGTCTAGCACCCAGACTGTATATTAGTGAAGTTATTATCTGTTTTTGCGCGGCGCCTTGCTAAATTCGGGAATGGTGCTTACGTCAAAGCACAACTCCCGTTTTGATGACGACTTCGGGAGCGAACGATTTGCATGGTGGGCGTGCGCGCGATACCGCACCTACGGAGGGCGCCAGGGCCGCGGCCGGGGACGGGGACAACATTGCACCAGCAGCAGGCCTGCGGCGCGGTGACCCGTGTCGCGTCGATTTTGCCAATTCTCCTCATTGAAGTCCGCCATTAGTCTGGTTCCCAGACCAAAAGATTCCGACTATTCCTGATGAATCTTAGGTCAGGTAGCCTCCGGTAATACAATGTATTACAATTTACATCACGTGACTAAAACGGGAGGAATTCCTCCTTTTTCCGAAACTGTCCGAAGTTTGCCGAATTCATTTCGTCGACAATTGGATAGTGTCCGAGTATTTCCGAGTACAATATAGGTTTTATTAACTGCTAATTGCTTATTAAAAACTTAAAAAAACTAGTTGATAATTAATATCCATTGCTTTTATTTAGAAAACTTGAAATTCAACGACGATTTTGCACTCGGATCGTATACGAGGGGCGAACTTTTTGCTGCGTCATGCACTAGTTTGAATTTGACGACCCGTTACCGGCATTTTCCAAAACGCGGCGTGGTCTCAATTCGGCTTCGCCTGCTAACAGTGCTGTTTGGGTGTCCAACTTTGAAGATTCCAGGTTAAAATTAGTCATTTTTTTTTACAGAAGTATTAAACTGTATATCATAACTGTATGATATATGAAGCAAGTGATTTATTTTAAAAAAAAATTATCGGAACATTAAAAGCTTTATGTGATAAAGCGAAATCGGAAACGAAGTCGAGCTTTGAAAAAGGGCCGTCAATGTCGTCATGTTTATTTCTAGCCACGGAGGCTGCCTGACCTACAATTTAGACGTGTAGACGTCGGGGGAAATTGTCAGGTCGGGGAACCAGACTAGTCCGCCATGACAGTCACACGCGTATCGGCGGCTGATGCGCGTGCGCGCTAGCGATAGGTTGAGTATTACTACGCGTGCCTTCTTGCAGAAACATAGATCGGTTGATTAACATCTACGTTAATTTCATTTTGATAATTATTGATGAAGGGTGGAAAAATCTAAAAATGTATACCTGTGCGCTGAATGTATTATAATAACATCAATATAACAACTTATGCGTGCAAAATCAGGGGGGACAGAATTAACTGGAGGGGACAGAATTACCTGGAGGGGGACAGAATTAACGGGACAGGGGGGACACTTTTACCTAGGTAATTCTGTCCCCCGGACACTTTTACCGGGGGACAGAATTACCGTCCACACCCCGGCAAAAGGACGTAAGGTTTTAATCATTAACGAATGTCATCAGTCAAAATTTCAACCTTATGTGATTTTTAATCTAGAAGTGGCAGCACAAAACCTTTCAGCTCGATTATCTCCAAAAGTGCTTTTTGCGAGACTGGGCTGCTTACGTCCTTTTCCTTGTCACACGACGAATTATTGGTTAAAGAAATACAATTATTCCAAATGAGAAACAAACCATTCTAAGAGAAAAAATAAGAAGTAAAGAAGAAAAAATGAAAAAGTATCCCATGGGAGCCGACCTCATCACACCTTCGGTTTTGTAATCAATGTGGTTTCCACGACAGTACAGCAGTGACTCGATCGATGTGGTGGTTTTAAACATTACATTATTGCATGTACATGACATTGTATAGCGCCCTCCAGCATGATTCAATTTATAGTAGCGATTTATGCGGTATGGAAAAATAAATCGCTGCCCGGCCTCTAGCCTTGACTACGACCAGTGGCGTAGCCACCGGGGGGGGGGGGGGGGGGGGGGGGGGGGGTAAGGGCGACTGCCCCCCCCCCCCCATGAAACCTTGTCGCCCCCCCCCCCAGTCGCCCCCCCCCCCCCCCACTGAGATTTTGAGTTTCTAAAAAAATTATCATTGATCTACATGACGCCATGGGCGTCAATCCTGGGGGGGGGGGGGACATGAAGGGTGGGGGACACAATATCAAATGTCCCCCCCCCCCCAGATTTTTGAACGTGTGTCTCATTGACAGGGCCCCATTATGTACTACAATGTATCTTTTGCTTAGAAAATATTGGTTAAAGTGGTCAGAAATTGCCTCAGATAGCACCACAGAGCATTTAGAATCCAAAATTTTTCGGGCCCTTAAGCGGGCCCCGAACCCCACGCCTAAAGCTCAGAATTCTGGTAGCTGATTCACTGACTCCAACCTCGAAAACAATGTTCACAAATTTTCTTATGCCTTTAGCTGAGAAAACCTCGAAAATTATGTTTAAATTATTATCATTTGTGCTAAGATAATTATTGGTTAAAGTGGTAAGAAATTGCTTCAGATCACACCACATAACATCTAGAATCAATTTTTTTTCGGGGCCCTTAAGCGGGCCCTGGACCCCACGCCGTAAGGGCTTCGCGCTTCGCGCTCGCATCAGTTCTGATCAAGGTATGTCCGCCCCCCCCCCACTTTTGAGAAGCGATTGACGCCCCTGCATGACGCCCCCCCCCTATGAAATGTTCCAGCCCCCCCCCCCAGCGGCCCCCCCCCCCCCCACTGACAAATTCCTGGCTACGCCACTGACTACGACGCTCCATGAGTGCCATCCACTTATTTATATACTGAGATAATTTATCACGTCATGTTCACATAAAGCGGAGAGTAAGGCGACTTAATCACATAAATTATCTCGTCAAGTCGACTTCCCGAAGTCGAAAATGACGACTTGTCGAGATGAATTATCTAGCCAAGTCGACTTCCCGAAGTCGAGATGACGACTTGCTGGGATAAATCATCTCGCCAAGTCGACTGAACGAATTCTAAATTACGACTTGTTGAGATGAATTATCTCGCTAATTAACTTCCTCAATTGAGACGTCGGCTAGTCCAGATAAACATGTCGCCAAGTCAACTTCCCGAAGTGGACATGACAACTTGTAAAGAAGTGATAACTCGCAAAGTTGACTTACGGAAATCGAGATGACGACTTGCCGAGATAAATTATTTTGAGTTTCACCTCGAAAACTAAATTTGCTTTTCAATTGCTCTTTTCCTAGCAATATAAAACTTATTCACTTTTGAATCACTGTGACGTTGTTCTGATGTCATCAAATATGAAATTACAAGCGATTTTAGATCACAAATCGACCTAAATCATTAATGCCAAGAAAATCCCTCGGCAAGAATGAAACACGTTTTCTCAAAAATTAATGCAACTTCCCAAGAACCTTAACAACGTCCCAACATTATTAAGTTAAAGATATTTTCCTCCTCGACGATAGAAACCGGGAAAAAAATAAGACGCTAAACGAGAATAATTATTTTGTTTACTGGCGCCGGCGGGGGGGGGGGGTGTCCCCCCCCCCCCATTTCGCCACTGACAGTCTGTCATACCTTGTTTTTTGAAGAAATGAAAACCAGAAGCGAAAAAGGTCTTGAAAAAGAAATAACTGTATGTCAACATGTTCATTCCATACATTTTTAATATCCTTCATTTATCAGCATGCATGTAGTGCAAACGGTGGCCATATTTTGCTGCTTGTCACATGTCCTACGTAGTCGTAGATGACCATGGCTTCGTGGTCTAGGGAAGAAAACGGTGGGTCCGGAGGTGGCTAATGAGGCCAATCCGGGCCCGGAAAGTCCTCCCACACGTGGGACACGTGTGGGCTGGTGTAGTGTTGGTTGAGGCTGACGCTTTAGCCCCCGCATGGCCCGCTTCTGCTCCGCTGCTGCACTGCGGTTGGTTTCAGCTGCAAGCGCTTACTTGCAGGTAAGCATGCTGCGCCAGGTTGGACGGTCGAGGGCAAGGGCTTCCCAGTTCCCTACGTTGAAATTTAATGCTTTGAGGCTTGACTTGAGGGAGTCTTTTAACCTTTTCTTCTGCCCTCCAGCCGAACGCTTGCCATGACAGAGTTCGCTGTACAGCAGCTGTTTTGGCAGGCGACTTTCATCCATGCGGACAATGTGTCCAGCCCATCTAGCCTGTGCCTTCTGCAACAGGGTGTGAATGCTGGGCATGCCAGCGCGCCGTAGGACTTCAGTGTCAGGGATCTTGTCCTGCCAGCAGATGTGTAGGATACGGCGGAGGCAACTCAGGTGGAAGTGGTTGAGCTGCTTGGCATGTCTGGCGTAGACGGTCCAGGTCTCACTGGCATAGAGTAGGGTGGTTAGGACCACTGCACGGTAGACCTTCATCTAAGTGGACATGCTGAGGCCTCTGCGCTCCCAGACGCGGTTCTGTCGAAGTCTGCCGAAAGCGACGCTGGCTTTGGCAATTCTGTTGCCAACCTCATTGTCGTCACTGGCTCCGCGTGAGAGGGTGCTGCCCAGGTAGGTGAAATTGTCAACAGCCTTCAGATTCTGCCCTTTCACCGTGACATGCGGTTCTTGGTATGGCTTGCCAGGCGCAGGCTGATGCATGACTTCAGTCTTCTTGGTGCTGATGGTAAGACCGAAGTTGTCACATGCTGAGGAGAAGCAGTTGACTTCATGCTGCATCTCTTGTTCTGAACTGGCATTCAGAGCACAGTCATCGGCGAAAAGGAGGTCCCTGACTATGGTCTCTTTCACCTTGGTCACTGCCTGCAGTCTTCTGAGGTTGAACAGACATCCATCAATTCAATATCTGATCTGGATTCCATCTTCGCAGGTGTTAAAGGCATCCGTCAGCATTGCAGAGAGGATCATACTGAAGAGTGTGGGCGCCAGCATACATCCCATCCCTGGAACTGGCGTATGATCATGGTAAACTTGCTAGGGCAACCAAACTTCTCAATGATCTTCCAGAGGCCATCCCTGCTGACCGTATCGAAGGCCTTGGTCAGGTCGATGAAGGTCACATAGAGATCACAGTGTTGCTCCTGGCATTTTTCCTGAAGCTGGCGGGCTGCGAAGATCATGTCTGCAGTTCCTCGCCCAGCGCGGAATCCGCATTGACTTTCTGGAAGAAGGTCACGCTCCAGATGTTCAAGGAGGCGGTTGAGGAGAACGCGAGCTAGAATCTTTCCAGCAGTAGACAAGAGTGAAATACCCCTGTGGTTGTCACAGGACTAACTCGACAAGATTATATTTTTATCACATCTGCCTGGGAATTGCGCAAAAGGAACGTTTTCCCTTTGGAATTTTGTTGTCAGTCTCTCTTTTTGGAAAAGCCGAATATATTGGCTAAGGCCAAAAAAACAGTCTCCGGTTTCTGGTATGCGTGAGCGTCGCCGTAGCCATGCGCGTCGGCAAAATGAAAAAGGTTTTTTTTCAATGAAAGATGATTTCTCAAAACCTCCAAACTCACTGGTTTGACTGGAATCCTGCTGCTGCACAATTTTAACGTGTTTTTAGATGGGGTTATGATCGAGAATAAGCTTTATGTGACTTCTCTGGTCTCCCATAATTATTTGCACTAAGTTTAGTCGGGCACCATTTGTAGTCATCAGCCGACATTTGAAGCAAAAAAAACAGGTAAAAAAAAAAGCCGCGTCGCCGCGCCACTTTTTGGGCAAGCTCCATACCAGAAACCGGAGACTTTTTTGGGGGCCTAATATAATGGGACATAATGCAAACCGCCGGCCATGGGACTGGTCGGTTCGGAGTAGAGGTTACTGATGAGGCTACCGTGTATACAACCATGCATGCGCTGCTCAGCTGATACCGATTCGCAAGACTTTCTACCAGATTCTCCATACAGTGTTAGTCAAAAAGAGAGTGACTGAATTTGAAATTATATTCAAAATATTTGGCTTGCTCCATTTCATTATAAAAAAAACCCAGATAGGGATAAAGTACATCTTATTGACTTTTAATTGTGAAAATTTCATGTAATTTGCATACTCTATTCCCACGTTATGTCTATTTCAATAAATAGATCACAAAACTCGGCTGTCCACCACTGATCATTTACAATTCTACGAACTTATTAATACCATTTTGACTAATTTTGAGGTAAAATGGAACTCTTCACATATAGTGGCAATAAAAAAAGACAAGACAAGCCTAGCCAAGCTAAAAAATTATATTCAACCGGTTCCGAATGGCTATTCACTGTAGGCCTTTGTGTGCCTCTGTGTACACAATAGTCCATTCATGTGGCGTTAAAGGGGAATCCTATACAATGGCACTGCCCGGTTCATCAGTGACAGTCAATGAGTCCGTGAGTCTATCCTCTCTGGGTCCAAATGGTTAGGTTTCTGAGTTTATTTCTTTGTAGATTGTGTTTATCCAGCTTACAAATTCATGGGGCATCGAACCGGGGACATCCGTGGTTTAGTCGAGTAAACACAAACAAAGACATGTAAAAGCAGGCCTACATGTAAACAGGTATATTGAATGTTAACACGTTTGTGATACATTTTGAAACGTGTAAATTATTTTCGCAAACTTACTTGATATATCGAAATTATTAAATAGCATTGCTAGAAACTAATACCCGACACCAAGACTGCAAATGTTATCAAAATGCGGCGCGCAGAGGCAATTAATAGTTGTGTCTCTTTTGTCGATGTTCATAAAATATGCAAAACGTCCGCTCGTCTATTACCTTTCTACACATGAAGCGGTACGAAGAAGGATGATTACTGATGTCATTAGAGTTGTTTTCAATGAATAGGTATTGTTGCTTTAATGCAAAGGGCATGGCAATTATCCAGAGTTGCTGACTCGAGTTATGTGACTTGGACTCGAGTCGGACTCGAGTCGCTATTTTTGTGACTTGTGACTTGACTTGTAAATACCAGCTTTGACTTGTGACTTGACTTGGACTTGCAAACAATGACTTGTGACTTGACTTGGGATTGCAAAAAATGACTTGTTACCAACCCAAGTCAGACGCTACTCGAGCGACCCAATACACTTTAATTAAGCTATTATACTTTTAATTAGCTTTTTCATTCCAGAAAATAGACATCAGTGACTGAATCCAGTAAAATGAATAGTTCCCACTAGTTTCAAAAGTTTTCAATAAGACTGTCACAACAAACTACAGTTTTCAATGACCAATTGTCTCTTGCTTAATGTATTGGTTGAACAAACTTTGAAAGGAACCTTTCATGAAAAGAAAGCAGGCCTTTGTCAATTGCATGTAAAATACCGGATAGCCTAACCCATTGGTAGGCGTTTAGTATACATGAAAATTGAACAATAAAGTGTTAGTATACTACATGTAATCAAGTGAGGAAGTCTTTTTTTCACGGTCATCTCAACATTTATTTCTACAATGTAAAGACAATTTATTAAAGTATACAAAGGGCTAATATCCGACAAATATGTGATAAACTACAAGAATAGTAATTGCAACACATTGAAAAAGGGGAATTAAGGAGGCATGTTCAAAATAACTCGTAAGTTCACGCCAGGTTAATTCTGTTAGCTAATTACAGCTGGACAAAATAATGTGCAACTTGACGTGTTCTTGGACAAAGATACTTGTGACTTGACTTGTTTTTAGACCAAATGACTTGTGACTTGACTTGTGACTGGACCTAATGACTTGTAACTTGACTTGTGACTGGACCTAATGACTTATGACTTGACTTGGATTTGCAAACAATGACTTGTGACTTGACTTGGACTTGCAAAAAATGACTTGCTGCCACCTCTGCAATTATCACCTATGTAGAAGCTGTTAGAAAGCTTGACGAACATCAAGCGCGTGATCGTATAGTTTTTGGAATTTGAAAGGTCAAAGTTGGTATATACGTGCTTTTTCTAAATTTTGATTTCCTTCTCCGAACGAAGTTTAAAGGAATATAATGCCCTGCAACAATACATCTGCTTGTTTATTTTGCAGGCCTTTAAACAGCTTTAAAAGGTGGTTTTAAATGGCGCGCTCCAGTTCAGAAATTGCGCACACTATTCAGAACGAAATAGGAGCGTCCCGTTCTTGATTCAAAAGTTGAAATCAATTAATTGATTACCTTGTCGTGGGCCGATTGGCTAGAAAATTATCCATTCAATTAAAAAAAAAACTTTTCAAGGTGCCACACCCAAAAAGCACTGATACACCGTTAAACTTCGTTTTATTTCTTAATTTATTCTTAACAAAAAAGAAAGGACAACTTACGGAAGCGTAGAAGGGCCAAAAGAAATTAAGAAAAGTTAGTTCCTATCTCGCCGCGGCGAATTACTATCTCACCGCGGCAAATTATTATCTCGCCGCGGCGAATTACCATCTCGCCGCGGCGAGTTACTATCTCGCTCAGTGACTTACTATCTCGCCGCGGCGACTTACTATTTTGCATCGGCGAGCGTCAGGCACGACGAACTCCTTGGGTCCTATGGAACGCCGAAGAGGCATTTAATGTGATCAACGAATCGGCGATGCACTTTATCGATAGGCAGTGGGGTTTTGCAATCGATGATTGACTGTCACAATCGGTGATGGATTTTTGCAAGTGGTGATGGATTTTTGCGATCTTTGCTCAACATTGGCAAAACTAAAACTCTAATCACCCATACAGGGCTGGATTCTATAATATAACTCCTCTAGTACGTTCGATAAATGAAATAATATACAGTTGTCCTTTCTTGTTTGTTAAGAATAAATTAAGAAAGAAAACGATGTTCAGTGGGCGGCAACAGGTGATTTATCCATTTGAAATGCAAGGTCCATTAGCGTACGGGATGAGGATGACCCAGCCAACTATTCAACATTATAATTGCATCACTCAGAGGGCAGAAAAGTAATTACTGTAATGCTCCGCCTTGCGATTGTTACGACCGATTTTGAATGAAACAAGCTCATATTACCGTTACACAGACATTTTGACGTTCGCGGGCTAAAATCTTTTAACATCAATTTCTCCCGTTTTGAAGGCCGTATCTCGGAGACACTTTTGGAGTTTCTTTCCCTATCATGATCCTACTATTCAGTATTTTTCATTACAATAGAAAAATAGGTTTTGAGTTTGTCATTTTTCAATATTTTTAAGCGTCACGAATATTAATAAGGTTCTATCCATGAATGCAGTTACAAAGTTTACGACTCCCTCCTTCACGAGTTCTCTACCAATACAATATTAACTTTTTTGGTTGGTTTACATTGGTCTAATGATACAGAGGCCCACGCGAAGTCACGCAGTCACGCTAATTAATATGCTAATAACGCGCATGTCATATATACGTCAACGTTGCGGCAAAACCGGCCACTGAAGATGCTTTTTTTTGCTCCGCAAAATCCGAGCTTGACCTCGGTGATAGGAGATGTAACACAAGCGTCTGCAACATATTAAGCTTAAATTCGAAATATTATAAGTGTTCAACTACTCGTAAAATAACAACTTGTGAGGATTCCTAAAAAAAAAAGATTGGGGAATTGCCTTTAGAACGATTTGCTCCACGTGCGCCTTTAAGGTCAGCTTAATCGGTGACCAGTATTGACGTTTCTGCATCGTGAAAGTTCATCAACGATTGCAAAGTTCATCACCAATCGCGAAAATCCATGACCGATTGCGATATTCAACACCGATTTCAAAATCCTATCACGCCCCGCCCCATAAAAAGTTCGCACGCCCAGTCGCCCCCCCCCCACTGAAAATTTGGCATCCGTAGAAAAACACCTCGATATGAGTTACCATGACTACCTGGAAGAATATAGGCCTTAGTCAATTTTTTCTGCGATTTTCTGCGAATTTTTTTTCGCGAGTGGCTGTTTATTACGGTCCCTTGGAAATTGAATAGTGGTAGTTAGTTTCCCGCGAGCGCGAGTGGAACACGGATTAATGTAGTGCATCTATAGTGGCCCGGCAGAGTGGTATGTGGGACACTAGACTAGGGTGGGTATTGGGCGGATATCCGGTAAAGGAACCCTGTCTCACGGCCTTTCAGCTCGGATGAAATTTTGGGGCGCCCCTCCATTGTAACCTCAAGCCGGGGGGGGGGGGGGCTTGAGGTTACAATGGAGGGGCGCCCC